GTCACTATAGTTGAGTGAACTGCATTTTGAGAACATTGTGTTTTTTGCATTTAAATTTGCATAACTCATATAATTATGAACCTCAGCATTCCCCTTTCTGTGCAACAATCCTAATTCTGTGGCATTGCAATGAGGTACAGGACTTGCAGGATATTCCAATATACAGCAAATTGCTCTTGGCCATTAACTGACTCTTTCCAAAATGGGTGAAGACATACTTAGTCATGTATGAAAACTGTGCGACTGAGACTATGTAAGTTCATTAGGGGAAGCAATATGAAAAATGGTTAAAAACCACCCACGGCTCCCAGGTTGTTGGTCACTAAAGTGCACATAAATGGCTTTGTGCACACACTCGTGAATGCCGACAAGAGCGTTTTATGTGCAGGGGCTATCTTTGTGTCTATGTTTTTTGTAAGTTCGACAGCTTGTAACGATTTAAAACTTGGCCTATCCTCTGTGGCATCAACATTTACCACTTTCACCTGTGGCTGTGTGGGGAGGTACAGTGGTTTGCGCTCCAGTCATGAAGATCAGGGGGATGGCAATACATCGGCTAGTCAATTGAATAATGATAATGAAATATGACGATACACAACCTTGTTTTGTGATATTTTTATCTGTACATTTTGTACGCATTTTGTCCGCATGACCTTGCCTTCAGCCACTTGATGCTGCTAAAATAATTTTTATGTAAAAAATAATCTAGCAGTTGGATGTGTTGAATCGCAACAAATAACGACACCGCAAGGGGGCTAATATGTACATCCTTACTAGCGAAATGCTGCAGCCTTTTTGGCAATCTGCTGCTGGTTAAGGACTTTCCCATGCCCCGTTGGTCCTGGGGGTTATTTGAATTTGACTATACTTCGCCACGTTGGCCATTGCTTAGTCACGGTGAAAGCAGAGAGCATAGACATCGCACCAGAGTACAAAACAACAATGCATTTTCTTTGCCGCCCTATGCCGCTTGCGTCCTATCTCCGCAGCAACCTAAACCACCTGTTTAACGTGTGCTGCTCACGTGCAAGCACCCGTCCAATTTCAATTTTGCTTCGCTCCTGGGATTTGGTTATTTGTGATTCGTTGCCAATTTTAGCTCGTGGTAATTGCTCTCTTCCTCTGTGAAGGCCTGGGACCTTGTGGCCTACTCGCACACATCCCGTGACATTCCTTGTAAGAGTTCAGCCATCGTCTGCTGCGTTTCACGATCAGATTTTGCCGACAATGCCTCGTTGCATTTACAGACGAACCGCTCATGAGTGGGATCATGTCCCCTCGGTCACACACTGTGCATGTAGTTTAACAATGGTAAACAAGCTAATCATGCGTAAGACAACCGTATTATAATTGAGTGTTTAATGTTCTCTCAGTGTACATTAAACCATGAATAATGCATTAAGTTAGATTTAAAGATACGTTGTAGATATACGTTGGGTATATTACCTTGGGTCACAAGTCTAACTTTTGTACTTTATTTGTAGGTGCAATATTAGACTAAAAATAAACCTTGAGGTTTAGAGTGCGTCTGTTGGAGACCATAAAATTGCAAGGCTTTATCATACTGATGTTACATTGATTAATTAAACAATTAAGTGCCAAATACAATGTAGAAAAAGAATCGCACATCTTGGAAATGTATGCACTGATCAAACATGTTTGCACTTATTTGTTGGGGTGCAATGGTGTAAACATTTAGCTTGTGAACATGCAGGTTGCACAATGTGTCAATGTTGTGCCGCATATATGTACTGGCTATGCATGTGTATGTAAGAGTGTATTATGTTGAACAAATTTTAAGCCAATGTCATAATTATTTTATTTACTTTCGTTTTCTTCAATCGGACACTGCACCAACACCAACCACTGGGGCCTTGACTTGCCGGTTGTTATATTATTATTTTTACTTGCGAGAGGCGGAGTGCAATTTATTGAAAGAGTTTGCAGGATTACAGTGTTTATATCAATAGCTTTGTGCAGTGTGGCACTTTTGAGTCATGTATTCCTTGTAAAGAAGCACAGCATTTTACCACAAAGCGATTAATAATGGGACCATATAAGCATACGATGGGATATAATACGTCTTCAGGAATACAATGCCTGTTTCTATACCATTTCTACGTTACAATACCTTGTATGCAAATCGATACTGGGGCTTATTCCAGCAAGCTTTGCATTCATGCGTGGGTCTTTTACCTTCATATATTCACGCTTATTTCTTGTGTGCTGGACATAGGCTTCTGGGACAGGTCTGTTGTACACACGCACAATGCGACTGCCATCAAATTTCGATTTTTGCGTGATAGACCCTGTGAAAGCACTTGCCTTGTTGCTGTACTAAAAGTAACTGTATTAATATGCTCCTTGCATTTCATACATATGCTTGTTCCTATGACCAAGTTATCCAGAATGTGCCCGATGTCATCAGGTCTCAGAAGCTAAGCAGGCTTGGGTCTGAATAGTGCTTAGATGATTGCCCATTATGAGCAAACACAGGTGTCATCGGGGCTGTGGTGCTCTGTGGTAGGCAGTAGAGGGAAGGAGAGTGGAATCTATTGTATTGCACGTTTTATGCTCCCACGTCTATGCTCCCCGCTTTCACCAACCTGGCCTGACCAGCGTGGTGAAGTATGGCCAATAACCTGCATGAAATGAGGAGGCCCTCATCCAGCGGTAGATAGCCATATTAAAAGCAGAAGCAACTTTAACCTGATGGTTTTCATTGGTGACTGGTCTGAGTATATTATAAACTCACGACACTTTCATCTCGGGCAGTTACCTGGATGAGAACTCATGTTATAAGTGGTACAAACCCAGTGCTGTGACATCTGATCCATCTGGCCAGTTTGTCATTAAATCCTGCACACCCAGGTTCTGTTGCTCTGAAGATACTTGCAGTTTAATTTTCATGGGTCAGCAACCGAAATAACAGAAGTATGTTTTTTGTTCGAATTCGGTAAAACACTCGATATTTCAAGAGCCGCAATGCGATGTGAATAACGTCATGAAGCAGTCCTTAAAGGGCCACATGCAGCTCCGGAGTCGCGGGTTGCCGCCCCCTGTTCCATAGACTTCAGGCGATAAGTCTGTCCTCTGTCAATTTATTGCGACAATCAACTTGGGTATTGAGATAACTACATAAAAAAAACATGAAACCAGGCAGTCATGGCCATGGCATCTTTAGCGTACTTATTATGGCACACTGTGGAACTTGTTCCTGCCTGTTTTGGATGTTTGCGCATTTGGCATAATGCCATTGCATATGATGTTACAGTGCAGCAGATGTTTTAATTTCATTTTCACGTGTTTTTTGGAACATTTAACTTAACAGAATGCCCCACATTGTACAGTAAATTTTATATTATTTTATACTGATATTTAATGTACAAATTCCGTACCAGTTTATGAGACTTTTGAACTGTGATTGTTGAAGCTGCCTCAGCAATTCGTAACAATGGGCATGAATGCAAAAAATTAATATGACTGTGGGGTGGTTGGGGCGAGGTGCAGAAAGTTGGCAAAGCGTCACATTAAGTGAACCTCCTTCATTCGAGTGCTTCCATTTTGTTCACGAGCAGAAAAAAAACACATGTTGGTAATGCCAGGGTCAGCTGGTGAATGTCCACCTGGAGAGAATCTGGTATGCAGCTGATATAGTAAACACTACAATTATGAGGTGGGGGCAGGGGTAGTGGTCCACTGGCTAACTCACTGCATTGTGTGCCCATCTACCGGAGGTTGATTCTTGGCCCTGGTTAACTTGAGCGATGAGTGATCATTAAACTGGTCCTAGCCCCCCCCCTCCCCCCAATCCTCTCAACAAACTGCACTGATCAGTGTGAGGAGTGAGGAAGTATTGTCAAACGATCTCCATGATTGCCATGCGTGTATGTCATGTGAACATGCGCGCGCCGGCTGGTACACACTCCTGTTGATGTATGTATGTTGAAATTATTTTGCCCCGTATGAAGCCAACCGTGCTAATCAGAAGTGCAGAGGAAGCACTACAAACTAAACACAAAAAGCAGTTCTAAAGAAACGAGTTTTCAATTTAGATTTGAAAGTGCATCGCCCCAGTGGCTTCCTTTCAAAGCAGTCGGATTGCCGATGTGTGGTTCGATGTCACTACACATGATCATAACTGAGTACAGATGAAGAAGACCTTTCAGCTACAAAGTTTGAGGTTGCCTTTAAACAATTTCATAGCCAAGAGACTTTCTGTTAATTTGCCAGGCCATTTCAGGTCCAAGTGGCCTTCTGGCATTCAGTCAAGTCTCCCAGGCTTCAGTAGGAATCTTTCATCTTATGCTCTTGCAGTTGTCTTGAATCTACAAACATTACACTGAATTTCCTCATTGTGCGGTACTACTGTACATGCCATTTGTTTGTGTGGGTGGGTGTACACGTGTGCATGACTGAAGTACATGCGGGCTACTACAATCTGACAGGCACTTAAGAGGAAATTGGTTCAGCCCATAGTGAGCAGTTTTCACTCAAAACGAATCCCACATTCACGGTTGGTCAATGATGTTGTACACAAACCAAGCCATTCATCCAACTCAAAAAGTGCCGTAACTGTCCAGTGGTTGGGTTTTTATTTAATTTGATGTTAGAATGGATTCTCATTCGTTGTTGTGCAAGATTAATGAACGTGACCTTGGTGATAACATTTTTGTTTCCTTGAAGGTATCCCAACATGGAGTAGTTTTTGTTATTTTTACTTTTTTTTAATCATGGTATGGTGGAGCTTTCTTCATAGCTATTTATATGGTAGAGAAATGAGATTGTCAATGTCAAACCATAAATGAGCCTCCTTTCTTTGTGTCCAAATCCTTCAGGGTCACATAAAAATAAACATCTTTGTTTACGTGTAAAACCCTTGTGATGTTTTTTACTCTCACTTTGAAGTGGTATATACGATATGCTGACTTGGTTGGTTTGTACATCTGCACTTGAAGGTATTTAAATAATGATTGTGCTCCGGTTTGTTTAATTTTCAGGCAAGAAATGTACAGAGTGGAGCACTCTCAGCCATCAAGGTCATCAAGCTAGAATCTGGTAAGGATACAAGTATACGGAAAAGTCTACCAAGGCAGTCCAAATAATTGAACCGCCATTCACTTTTTTTGTACATTATTTTTATTGATCCAATCACGGGGGGGGAGGGGAGTGTACAACTTCCGCGACAGGTGAGTGGTGTATAGTGAGATAGGCGGACGTGCAGGACCGTAGTGTTATGTGGTAGGTGCGTCAGATCCCTTCTCGGGGAAGGACGGAGGAAAGGGGGAGGGAGTCAGTCTCATTTCAAGTTCAGTCAAGCAAACTCGGGGTCTCTGGAGTGGCATTAACGAGGGGGCCCCAGGAACCGCCATTTACTTTATGTAATGTCGGCTCTCCATTCTAAATGACCCCCTCTCAGTAGGCTCTCACACTTTTTTAAATAAAGTTCAAGGATTAATTACTTATGCAGATTTTCGTGCAAGGTTCTTCAAAGAAGGAAATCGATTTTGTGGCTGCTTTGGCAGTCTCATGTCAGTGCTCTGATCATGGGCAGTGTGCTCACATTTATTGGTCAAATTAAAATGTTGGTATTGATGGAGCATCCCTGACAGTGCGACACCACTACACAAGAACAAATATTTTTTTCCCACTGCGTGCCGCTATACAGGGGACGACTTCACCGTGATCCAGCAGGAGATAATCATGATGCAGGAGTGCCAGCACATCAACATCGTCGCCTACTTTGGCAGCTACCTCAGGTATCTGCTCTTCTTGTTTGTCATGTGATCCTGACTCTTCAGAAGCTTGCACGTATCCCATTCCCCCAAGGCAATCACTCAGCTTGGCCTACAAGCTGCTTTTAGTGTTTAGTTTGTTGTCCTTCCCCCGCACTTGTGATGAGCATGGGTTGGCTACGTATGGTGCGAAAGAAGTTCAACATACAACATGCTGTGTATACTGCATGATTTGTTGTAGAACTGATCTGTATGCCATTCTATTTTTTTGTGTATGTCTAAGCTACAGAGATCTTAATGCTTTGTTTGGTTTTGTCTTCCCAAATTTATTCCAATTCTATCTGTGTCCTCTCAAGAGATGAAGTGTCCATTTGGAATTTTGCAGAGCATAGCATCACCCCATATTTGAGAACTGTCTGCAGAAAATGTCGCAGCACTACTTCTGTGATCATTTCTAGTGACCTCTTATCCACATACTCAGTGGCTAATTCCCATACACCCTGCACAGTTAATTTATTTTTCATGGCAGTCAAACCAATATTTAGATTTCTCAGAGCTGACAATTTGCCATATTGAGTGAGAAGCTAAATTCACTGTTTTTATTACATCCATTGGTGACTGGGCTGAGCTCACTTCTTTTTATCACGAGGTTTAATCACGGGAGGCTGGCCAGATTAACTGGGTTTTCATGCTTGTTTTTGTTTACAGTGCTCTTATTATAGTTATACTAGTGTTTTTATTTTGTACAAGTTCCTTGTTGAGCTACTTCCATTTTTATTTTGTCCAGGCCTCTAATACAAAAGCAACTTGGCTCATTGGGTTCCTGCCTGATTAATGACAAATTATTGGTGAAGAAGATGGTGGTTTGTTGTGCCTGTGTTATTTGCGAAACTTACAATCTGCAACTTATAACCAAACATGTGAATTGTTAGCTTATTACTATGTTAAGTAGCTTTCTCAAGAAAATAAAAAATCCCTGCATTTGCTGCACATAAAGGTAGTTCACAGGGAAGGTCGAGCATGGTCACATGGTTGGTACGTGTTTAATGATGCATTGTTGCTTCATTGATTCAAATGTATTGCAATGCTCACAGTTCATTTCTTGAATTATGTGCTTACGAATAGATGATTTGCGATTCATGGAAATTATTATATAAAGGCAGATGAGGTGAACAATGCTATGTAAACGATTTGGGAAAAATAAGACTAGATTGCAACCCTGAATCATGTAATGCCTTGAATCTCTGAGGGGTAAGTGTACATTCCTAATCTATGATAACATGCTTAATGCCTGATATGAGTTCGTCTGAATTATTCTTGCTCAGATAAGCATCTCCACTTGAGAGCACTGATAGTGTTGGAAATTCCACCTTCCTTTTTGGAGGTGAAGTTTTCCATGGGACAACCATTGTTGACTTCCTTTTAAAGTGACTCATTTTATAGAACTCCGAGCGATGGTGGGCTGAGTCAACCCCCAAACAGGATTTAAAGTTGCAACCTTATGATTGCAAGCGGCTCATTCTTCCACTGAACCACCCGACCAGCTTGATAGGAGTTAATATTTAATTGTAAACATGTATAGTGTCATGTCATAGTAAATAGCTGCACACTGGGCATGTATGGACACTTGACTCCTTCAGCAATTCGTCACCAGCAAAGGATCATATTTCCATTTGATTTATGGCAAAGCCTCTCAGTTTCTGTACCCACGCTACCTCCCATCGGTCACACAGTGCTCCCACTAATGCATCGCCATCATCATGTCAGTGTTCTGCAGTGCGTGAACGTCAACAGCCACACGTGTGAACCTTGCACTTTGCAGTGAGCAATGCTGCCAAGGCCTCCGCCCTACTGACCTGACCAACACCGTAGTATAGCTTTGCTCTCTCCGCCCATATCTGAGTATGCATACCAACCCGCTGAAGTTTCATGCATTGAATATACAGTATTGAAAACAAACTAGAAAAACAGGTACTGGGTTTCCCACGTCAAGTGCCCGTGCCTCGTGTAACTGTCCTGAGACGATAGTTCAAGATGCGGAGTGAACGCTGACTTTGTGCCCTGGGTGCTGTGCATAGGTGGGATAAACTTTGGATCTGCATGGAGTACTGTGGAGGTGGCTCCCTGCAGGACATTTACCATGGTATGTATGTTAAGTCGGTTACCATGGTATGTATGTTGAGTCCGTTACCATGGTATGTATGTTAAGTCGGTTACCATGGTATGTTTGTTGAGTCAGTTACCATGGTATGTATGTTGAGTCAGTTACCATGGTATGTATGTTGAGTCAGTTACCATGGTATGTATGTTGAGTCAGTTACCATGGTACAGTGAGGGAAAAAAGTATTTGATCCCTTGCTGATTTTGTACGTTTGCTCACTGACAAAGAAATGATCAGTCTATAATTTGAATGGTTGCTTTATTTGAATATTGAGAGACAGAATAACAACAAAAATCCAGAAAAACGCATGTCAAAAATGTTATAAATTGATTTGCATTTTAATGAGGGAAGTAAGTATTTGACCCCTCTGCAAAACATGACTTAGTACTTGGTAGCAAAACCCTTGTTGGCAATCACAGAGGTCAGACGTTTCTTGTAGTTGGCCACCAGGTTTGCACACATCTCAGGAGGGATTTTGTCCCACTCCTCTTTGCAGATCTTCTCCAAGTCATTAAGGTTTCGAGGCTGACGTTTGGCAACTCGAACCTTTAGCTCCCTCCACAGATTTTCTATGGGATTAAGGTCGGGAGACTGGCTAGGCTACTTCAGGACCTTAATGTGCTTCTTCTTGAGCCACTCCTTTGTTGCCTTGGCCGTGTGTTTTGGGTCATTGTCATGCTGGAATACCCATCCACGACCCATTTTCAATGCCCTGGCTGAGGGAAGGAGGTTCTCACCCAAGATTTGACAGTACATGGTCCCGTCCATAGTCCCTTTGATGCGGTGAAGTTGTCCTGTCCTCTTAGCAGAAAAACACCCCAAAAGCATAATGTTTCCACCTCCATGTTTGACGGTGGGTATGGTGTTCTTGGGGTCATAGGCAGCATTCCTCCTCCTCCAAACACGGCGAGTTGAGTTGGTGCCAAAGAGCTCCATTTTGGTCTCATCTAACCACAACACTTTCACCCAGTTGTCCTCTGAATCATTCAGATGTTCATTGGCAAACTTCAGACGGGCATGTATATGTGCTTTCTTGAGCAGGGGGACCCTGTGGGCGCTGCAGGATTTCAGTCCTTCACGGCGTAGTGTGTTACCAATTGTTTTCTTGGTGACTATGGTCCCAGCTGCCTTGAGATCATTGACACGATCCTCCCGTGTAGTTCTGGGCTGATTCCTCACCGTTCTCATGATCATTGCAACTCCACGAGGTGACATCTTGCATGGAGCCCCAGGCTGTGGGAGATTGACAGTTCTTTTGTGTTTTTTCCATTTGCGAATAATCGCACCAACTGTTGTCACCTTCTCACCAAGCTGCTTGGCAATGGTCTTGTAGCCCATTCCAGCCTTGTGTAGGTTTACAATCTTGTCCCTGACATCCTTGGAGAGCTCTTTGGTCTTGGCCATGGTGGAGAGTTTGGCATCTGATTGATTGCTTCTGTGGACAGGTGCCTTTTTTTACAGGTAACAAGTTGAGATTAGGAGCACTCCCTTTAAGAGTGTGCTCCTAATCTCAGCTCGTTACCTGTATAAAAGACACCTGGGAGCCAGAAATCTTTCTGATTGAGAGGGGGTCAAATACTTATTTCCCTCATTAAAATGCAAATCAATTTATAACATTTTTGACATGCGTTTTTTCTGGATTTTGTTGTTGTTATTCTGTCTCTCACTGTTCAAATAAACCTACCATTCAAATTATAGACTGATCATTTCTTTGTCAGTGGGCAAACGTACAAAATCAGCAGGGGATCAAATACTTTTTTCCCTCACTGTATGTATCTTGGGTCAGTTGTGGGTTTGCACTTTTACAATGCGTAGGCTTTGTTGAGGTGTTAGTCAACAATTGTTCCGTATTTTCATGTACCGCCCTTTGCCAATCCTTCGCTGGTCGAGGGCCTTCCCGTGCCTTGCGGGTTCTGGGGTTTATTTGACCAAACTTCATCATGCTGGGTCGTGGGGGTTGATGAAGGCGTGGAGCATAGATTTAGAAACATAGAAGTATACTGTACAACAATGCATGTTTCTGCACTGCCCTCTGCTGTCCATTTATTAGCCGTGCAAGCTCTATACCATCTTTTATGTATGGTGGTCACCCACCCAAGTGCTATCCAGGCCTGAACCCTTAATGTAATATGATTAATATATACATATAAAAAAAATTCATATCTCAATTCCATCTTTGGCTTCTAGCATTTTACCCTTGGTTTGCTGCTCAAAACATATGCACAAAATTCTCTCATTAAAACTGTCCCGATGTACAAATTTCCCTCTGGTTGTAGATTATCTTAACATGCTTTTATAATCCAAATTGTATTGCACGATAATAATCATAATAATGGTCAAACACTCTATTCAGTCCTCTCCTGAATTGTTTTTGTCAGGCTCAATGGAACTTCCGTGGGTAAATCAATGGCTTTATTATTAACAGCTGTACAGAAAATAAATTTGTGCAAAGGTAGTATTTTCAATGTCACCTGAGCATTTGATCTTTACCCAACCAGACAGACAAGTCAAAAAAACTACTCGATTATGTTTTACAGCTTAAAGAAATCTCTAGTTACGCACTGAAAATAACTTAAGCTTTGCTGTTTCCTCATTGCATTGTGCTTAACCAACGCAAATCTGAGCCAGATTTATAAAAAAAATGTTAGCAGGAAAATAACGTGTTGCTTCCTTTGACAACGAGAACAGGCGAGTGATTGTGTGTGTTTTTACGTATGTTCTTCAGTCACAGGGCCGCTGTCTGAACGTCAAATCGCCTACGTCAGCAGGGAAACTCTCAAGGTGGGCATTACCCATATAGGTCATGTGCAGTCAGCAGCCTCTATCACAGGAAGCATGACTCACGAGCTCATGCAACAACAATAATAATGGATAATTGTTGTACTGTTTGTTATCGTCTGAATAATTTTGACCATGCAAGCTGATACAGTTTTTGCTTTTTTCGTTTCTCATTCATTCATAGGGTTTGGCCTACCTCCACAGTAAATGTAAAATGCACAGAGACATCAAGGTAAGTGTCTGAATCAAATATGACTAACGCTATATATTTCGATAACATTTTTACATGAGCAATTTTTTTTCGACTTTTTTGTTTAACTTACTCCATGGACTATCGAGTGAAATAATCGGCGGCAGCAGCAGCAGCAGCATTGTCCCAGAGGCGAGAGAAGAAACCAAAAACGTTGGAAATAACACAAGCGCACACATTTCGTAAATAACCAGTGCTCACGATCATATAAATAATTGCACACATCTTTTTGTCGTGTAATGTTTTCCACACAGTTTCAACTATTGGACGAGAGGGGCGTTCAAACCTTAGGAATCGGTGCGTGTAGAGAAAATGGCACATCACGTTCCACGGGGGAATTTTTTTTCAAAGCAAGGGAAGGTTGCCTGGCCGTAACGCCTAGCAGCAAGTTTGATTCCCGCCCGCTGCACATGGATCTTACTCTGGGGACAGTGTGTGCTCACGTCCTGGCTGGCCACAATAGTTGGTGTTGGCAGGAATTGGCTTTGAGCCGTTACGAAAAAATGTGGTCTTGTGAATCCTCCCTCTCTTCACATTTTGTCTTGAAGTAAACATTGGATTCTGAGCTAGTTTGTGTTGCGTGTGATTATTTATTTATTGTGAAATTATGATATTTTAAAACAAATTTTGGGAAAAACAGGAAGTTCACTTGAAAAAGCACGATTTATTTGCATCATAAGTAGGTGGTTAGTGGTTGTGCCTGCAAGTCGACTTTCTGCCTGCCTGATCATGCACGATATATTTTAGACCAGTCTCACTGGAACATCCCAAGGATTGCTTGCACAATCATTACATTACCTTGACTGGCTGTGAATGTCAACGGTTCACAGGCATGTTTTACCTTAATTCACTTAAGCTAATTAAATACTCTCATCATAGTTGCGTGGATCCGCCTCCAGGTTTTCCTTTCACTCTTAGCAACATGTGTTTCGAGTATTTGGCTGCTATACATTTCCACGCGATAAGCCACTTTGTTGAGCTATCATTTGTGGCCAGGTCGCTTCTGAAAAAGAGCTACATAGCTCAGTGGGCCTAAACTGGTAAAATATAAAAAAAAACTGTGCAGTAGCTTTAGTTAATATTTTTGTATTGATTGATATGTAAAGGATTACGGATTATTTTAGTACAATATGTCAGTGGTTAACATCAATTGTTCAAATGTTACACAAGGCATAGAAAACAAATATTCTTCAGACAAGCAGCATAGCAAGATGTGTTTTAATCAAATGACTACTAATATTATAATTTTACTATCTGTTGGTAATTGAAGATCTAATCCATAATAGAGGCTTTTTTTGGGTTAGGTCGCATTAATATATAAATGTGTCGTTAAAACCCGCCACCACCCGACAAAGCCAACTAGTAAGGGTGGTGGCGGGTTTTGATGACACATTTATATATCTACGCGATGTAACCCCAAAAAAACCTCTTATGGATGGTATTCGTTGCGAAAGGCTATGTGTTAAAGTGAAAGTCTAATATTAACGTGATTCTTTATTGATGCCTTTGCCATTCTTCGTATGCTGCAATTGCCCTCTGCTTGTTTGTGTTTTCCTAATATTAGGGAGCGAATATTTTGTTGACTGATCATGGGGAGGTGAAGCTCGCGGATTTTGGAGTCTCTGCACAGATAACAGCCACAATTGCCAAGAGAATGTCCTTCATTGGCACGCCGTACTGGTAAGACTGGCCACGTCCGTTAAACACGAGCAGGCGGATGACATCCGCACATTTAAATGGTATTTGAGTGCAGTTGATTAATATAATTCTGTGTTGGTAACCAAACAGCATTATATTGTGGCGGTTCGATGAGTGTGTATGTAACTAATAGACATGGGGCGACTTGATGAATTGTCACAATGTGGGGACCATGGCGCAATTCAAATCTCGACGATTTTTTGTCTTGTTTTTACCATCTTTGTACTGCCTACGTTATGTGCTCTCTTCTTTGTTCTATCTCGATCAGGCTATGAGCCAAAAAGTAAGGTTTATATATCATTTACATGAGTTGTAAATAATAGATTTTAAATGTAATGATGTGATGCTTGTAAGTGTTAATTTTATTCAAGAATTAATCATTTGTTACGGGCATAGCATATAGCCCCACTTCTCGAACCCCAGTCCTTGTGACCCACGACAAAGCAGGTTTTCATGTTTGGCAATTGTAAGGTACATGCGATGTGTAACGACTCTGTAGTTTGAGTGGAAAAGATTGGTAACCATGAAAATGTGCACTGCAGTGGGGCTTGAGGATTGAAATTTCAAAATCAGAGTGGTGAGCTTGCTTGTTGCTGAGCCCGTTGTATTCAAGGTCAAATGTTTAGTTCTGGCTGCTTGCACGTAATGTCTACCCTAAATCACCATAGCCCAACATCTGCTGTCATTGGCTTTCACACGGTTAAGCAGTGAATTTAATGTTAATACGTGTGACTGAAAATTGTGCTATGTGATCCAGTGGACCACGTGGTAGCACCAGAGGGCAATGTAGCAAAAGAAAATGGTTTTACTGTACATCTGTGTCCCTGCATCAATGCTCTCTTCCTTCACCAACGTGCACTGACAAGCGTGATGAAGTGTGGATAAATAACTCCTAGGACTCGCATACAATGGTGAGGCTCTCATCCAGCAGTGGATTGACAAAAGGGCTGTACATTGACAAGATCTGCTGCAACGCTGGACACTTCCAGGCAGCGTAGTGCCACCCGTGCTGTGCAGTGATGCGTGTCGTGCGTGCGTGCTTTGCGTGGCACAGGATGGCACCGGAGGTGGCGGCCGTGGAGAGGAAGGGTGGATACAACCAGCAGTGTGACGTGTGGGCCGTGGGCATCACTGCCATCGAGCTGGCCGAGCTGCAGCCGCCCATGTTTGATCTCCATCCGATGCGGTAATTCCACCTGTTTTGATCAAAACCAAAACATAATAATCATGGAAGTTACTTTTGAGACATCGTTAATTTAAAATGAAAATAATGTTTGGAGATGGCAGGGTGCCCCCTTGGAGGTCAGAGCACTGAGCTAACTTGGCTGAGATTCGGCATTTGGATCCAGGCAGCTGCCCATGATTTAACTTTCTTCTCAAATGCGTTGAGTTATTGGTCTAAGAACGATTACCAAGGCATGCAAAAATAAATAAATTCTAAGTATCACTTAATTTGACTAAGCCCTTAACATTATAATAAACTACTGTTTGAAATCCAGTGATTGTCCCTCATAGAATCGTATATGAGAGTGCACATGGATAAATACGGTCAATGAGAATGATCTCAAAAGTTGTTCTGGCCATTCTCTTAACACATGGGGTGATGCATGCTTTGTACAATTTACAAATCAATATTTAGGTTTATTAAATTGTTCATAAACACACAATTGGAATAAAATTTGGAAAAAGACCAAAGAAAAATGTGAACAAATGTTAATTTAACCAAGAAAAGGTTTGCTAAGTCTCCAACCTCATTTTGAGGTTTCTGCAAGAAATATCTGACCAGTGCCCTTGTGAGTATTTTTTATGAAGCAGTGCCTGAAGATACCCCATATTCTTAATCGGGTAATAGCCAATCTCTGCACATTCAACTTGCATACCTGCTTACTGAGCTGCACGGTTGCCCTGCAGGAGGGTATTCTAGTGACATCATGGCTCTCTGCATAATTTGGGGTCACGATCCGCTTCAATAAGCAGTTATTTTTTTTAACATTGTGGTGGATGGATGGCACTTCTATTGGCTGCAGGGGTAACACATAAAACGTAGATGTATTTGTTTTAAATGTGGTTTGGTGCATGTATTATGCTTCGAATCATGTGTAGGATGCATGAATATAGTTTAATTGAGGAATTCGTGCATAGTTACACCCATAATAATGAGCTACTTACGGTGCGAAAGAAGTTCAACATATATACACTCTGGTTTGGTATTAACAATCTGAATTGTGAGAGTGTTTGAGCAATCTCATCAGCTCGTCCATTATAGGGCATCTAAAATTAGTTTTCTGCCAGTGGAGCAAGTAAAATTGTGTTATTCCTGTGTTTCGTTTCCCGTGGCTAATATGTTTTCGTTAGCGTGTTATTGTTTTGTTAACAAGTTTCTGTTGCAATGGACTATGTGAACGCATTAAGCATTGCCATCCAAGTATGTGTCTTGTGCCCATGTATGCACACGCATGAACGCGAAGTGTCGTGTATGTTTTCTCAATTGTCTAACGATTCACTAGTGTGTGGCAGGTGCTTTATAAATCCTCTCCATTGTCAATGTTGTAGAGCTTGCATAGTCTACTCTAAACACAAAGGGGACTGTACAGACGCACTTGAGGTAATTTCAGTGGAAGTTTGTTTTGGAATTTGTGGCATGTTTTGGTGGTACTAGTTAATATGTATACGTTACAATAATAAAGTGTGGGTTAAGATTTGCAATATATTTATTGGCGGGACTGGCGAAGGGCTGTAGAAATGCCAGGGCATCTAGCAAGTAAACTGCAGTTTGCACCCATGTGGTTTCAGTGGCTGTAACCTTATGGTGGTCTAAAACAACACTGCATTCTCCAAGCCAGTACAGTATTGTCACGTGACACACAAGGCATGATGGGAGGACAAATCCTCTGGTTACAATTGTACCACCTGCTATCTAGAAATCACAATTTGCATATTACTCTTTTAGTTTTTAGTTTCGAGTCTGCATGCACTTTTGTGTCCCAGCTATGAGTGTGGTGTGGTGGCATGATGGGCAGATTTGGCATTCTCCCAGACTCCCACTCACTTTTGTTGAGACGAAACCCATGTGGTCTATAGGTATCAGTGTCACAGTTTGTTTGATTTGGCAATCAATAACAGTAGCACACATGGCAGTATATTACCTTTTAAGGTGCCCCTAGATAAAACTTAAATTTTAATTGAGCAGTTTTTTGGCAGATAGATTTGTATTCTATTGTCCATGCATTTCTATTACCGTTGATGTTCAAGACATTGCAACATATGTTACCTTAAAGCTTAAACTTACTGCGACATACATACAATGCATGGCTTTACTCTCAGTGGCTTTATATTCAGAGATGACCTTTTCTGATTCATGAAAAAATATGCAAACACCGTACAGTATCTATATACGTGTTCTTTTAAAATGCCAATGAATTACCACCAGGAAATAGTTTCATGTTAAATGCTATTAAATGGGTTGTGCACATATATTATTTATGACTCATGCGAAAAAAATAGTTTTTGTTTTTGTCCTGTTGTGGGAAAGAAAATACAGTTTCTAAATTCAGTCACAAAATTTAAACAGGTTATTATCAGCGATGCAGATTCAGGATTGACTCATTTAAATACAAATTGGAGTTACCATCCTGTACAGAAGTCAAACTGATTATTTCTAAGCATATAAAACAAAAATAAGATATTTTACTTTCTGGTTTGGATAAGGATGGGGCTGAATCAACCCTGGACAAGATTTAAACTGATGCCCTCTTGACAGGGAAACCCGCTGGTCTATCACTTCATCAACTATGATCTATCCACTGCTGGATAAAAGCCTCCCAATGCCATCACAATCTCATAGATATACAAGGCAGCAATCCACCCAGCGTCTCAATATGAGCTTGTTTCATCACTCCGTATTTGCAGTGCATGTAACCACGGGGGTGTTCTCTCCTTTGGCTGCCACTCTTTCGTTAGTCTCTTCCACTAGCCATCGTCTCGTCTCGTCATGTCCTGCCTAAGCCTGCTTATTCTTTTAACGGCCAATGTGATGTCTCGAAATTGCATGTTTTCAAATCCATTTGTTCACCTTTGTCTCTCAGTCTATTTCCAATCTTTGTGCACGTTTAAACATTTGTTCAATGTCTTGATATCACATTTTTAAGCTGAATACAATTTCTTGGTTGGCAGCGAATTTTCTACAAGGGATGAATGAGTCATGGTCCTTAAACACTCGTTGTTCCATAAAGTAGGTTCTACTAGCAGAACCACGGCAATAGCAGGGCATAAAGAAACAGTTGTCTTGGTATTTCAGTTTTTGTTTGGTTTTAAAAAGACTTAATTTTTGTTTCGATTTAAAGCTTTCGTGACTGCAATGATTCATCTTCTTTGGTTCTTTCTTTACCGAAAGAACCAAAGAAGAAGACTTAATTTTTGATTGGTACAAAAAATATATCCGAAAGATTTCCATTTTGGTCTGTGAGGCTGAGATAACCAGTGATCCAGAGGTAGGTATGTTTGCGTCGGGATCTGAGGTTTTCCAGTCCAATAACCACGAGCTCACCAGATACTGCTGTCGTGTTATAGAGACACTTTGCACTGAAGACAGTGTTAACCCCGCTGGCTTAACACATGAGTCAAAATATGCCAGACTTAGAAAATTACTCACAAATGTACAACTGCAATATTCATCACAATACTCTTTTGGTCTTTCGGTAAAGTCACGTCGATAGAAAAATAATAGATCAGGACGTTTCGCTCGCAACACAGACAATTTTAGGTAAAGACGATTGCCTGTGTTGCGATCCAAACGTCGTGATCTATTATTTTTCTATCTACGTGACTTTACCGAAAGACCAAAAGCGTATGAATTCCTGCAGTCACGAAAGCTTTAAATCAAGTTTCATCACAATCATCGCAACCCTGACTGGGGGAAAAAAACTTGGCAGGACCCTCCTGAAAAGAGTCCTGAGACTTGGTGAGGCATTCTTGGGTAAACAAGCATACTAAATAGTCATAATAATCTTTTAGTGAATAACAGATCGCTACCCTGCACAGGAGGTTGCTAGGATGTCAGTAATGTCCACACATCTTGCAAACTCATATTTTTCCAAAATAGCAATATATTTCCTCCATAAAAAGTCATAATATAGAATACCAAAATAAATGTAAATCATTATGGGTGGCCTGAAAGTATGTGTGCTTACCATTTATTCTGAGCATGCTTTTGCACACGTAATCTAGCTGAAAAGACTTCTATAATTTAGTGAATTATTTACCCAGGATAGCCTCACTGAGTCTCAAGACTCTTTTCCAGAGGATCTTGTATTTGGATGATTGGCTAATACCTTTAATGAGCATTTGGCTTCTGGGAGAAAGCTAGGATTCCTTGAGAGAGCTCGTGCATTAAAAGGGGGTGACAATCATCACTGCTGTCTCATGGCCACCACCACGCCTTACAGCATCATACTGACAACACTGGGCAGGTTGTGTTAGTCGCCCAGCAAATTACTAACCAGGCTGAACTCTTATTAGCATCCGAGATCTTATATGAGACTGGGTGCATTTGGGCTATTATGATTATACCGCACCTGATTTTCCCGCACCTCCGATTAGCATGGTTGGCTGTGTACGGTGCGAAAGAAGTTCAACATGCATGCATACGTAGACAATAAACTATGAAAATAACATGTACTTCCTTGTCCAGCTCGTATTATTAATTCTATACATGGTTATAAACTGTAAGTGTACATAAGACCCACTTAATATATTGGCTTTCCTTTCTTTATATTTCCTCCAAGCGTTGGTGGAATGTTTTCCCTTAAAGCATGGGCATTCCCATGCAGTGCCCCAAAAGGCTCATTAATCGTTGTTGTGTATGTCACCAGGGCACTGTTCCTCATGTCCAAGAGCAATTTCCAACCTCCCAGGCTCAAGGACAAGGTGAAGTGGTGAGTGCTGTGAGAATCTGTTTGTCAGAGGATGTGGAGAGGGGTGAGCCAGGTTGAGCCATGAGGTTTGTAAGGATTTCTCTTCACGCTGCTGGGGGTCAACGATGGACCAGACAGATGTGACGCAATGGTAAGGAGGAGTTGTGAAGGCTCTCATTGCGTTAGGACTGACACAAGCTTTAGGGAGCACACGCTACTAACAAATTATGGTTACGATGAATGGCTCTTGGTTATCAATCGCCCTTCGTAATTGTACACGTGTGAAACTTTAATGGTGATGTGGTCTATTTGTGGAATAGTGGTCGCAGGCTTTATGAGCCTCTATGCATACATTCGCTTATCCCAGTTTCGCATTGTTAAAAGGTTCCCGTGAAGTTATTTTTTAATTCCTGTTTTAACTTGAGTTATGTCATTGTATGCTATTTTGAAAAGACAATACACATGGCAAAACTGCCTGTTGCTGTGTTTTTATTGGGAATGGACTGTTTTACATAACAAAAAACACCCCAGTGTTTCACTATTGACCTGCAGATCACATTTGCCACATTAACTTCAAACTAATTTTATATCTATTGATAACGTGTTGTGACTACAAAATGTTGTATTGCTCTACTGGAGTAATGTTAGTTATGTAGATTAATTGCTCTTACCCTTGTTGTCTTTGCTTGATTATTGCATTTGTTTTACGTTGACTGCGCCATACAGGTCAGGAATTTTCCACAATTTTATCAAGCAGTCTCTGATTAAGAACCCAAAGAAGAGACCAACCGCAGACAAACTCCTGCAGGTACAGTGCCATTCACGCTGCCTTCTAGCTACTTCCTTTCTGTTATCTCTCACCTGAAGTTCAGTGGAATTGGATGCAGCCAAAATGCAGCACATGGGTTGGCACATCTGTTAGATGCGCTAAGCCCTGTAACCCTATCCTTTCACATGGACGCTTTTCATGGACAGCAAAGGAGAATGGGATTAAATTGGTTACTAAGCGCATACACACAGCATCTCCAAGCCCAAACAGTGTGGAATTAAGAAGGCACTGGGCTTGTGCTGTTGCTATCCCTGCATGCTTGTTACTGCGTTTAGGATCCATTTGTGATTCAACCTCTGAACCGATCGCTGGCCACTGAGCTGCTGGATCAGATGAAGTCACCGGCTCCTCCCAGGAACTTCTACGATGATGAGGAACCCGAAGTATGTGTTCCAGCCCTCTACACGTTCCTCAAACATAAACACGCACAACAGTTAACAGCGATTGCCTCGGATAATGGGGCTTTAAAAAATATATATATATAAAATTCATTAACCTGTTGACCTGGTTCAATAATGTAATTAATATTCAGCACTTTAAGATCCCCGGCTGGATGAAAGTCTCCCCATGCTGTATCGGTCATGAGGGTTGTGTGACTATACTTTACCACGCTGGTCAGTGCAGGTTAGTGAAGTAAGGGGTAGACAAGATTGGTTCAGGAATCAAACTCAGCGTTGCGGAGTTCAAGCAGTGCGCTAACCACGATGCCACCGCTCCATTCCATCATGTTGTTTGCCAGTGCTTAAATATTTGAGCTGCCACACAAACTTTATGCATGTCATGTCATGCATGAATAGGGGATCAGTTTTCATAGGCCTGGTGCCTATTGTTCCATGTTATTTGAGCAGGCAAGGCTCTCTCTGCCATAGCTGAGCTTAAAACAGTAGTCAACCGGAATGGATTTGCAATTCTGCTGTCTGCATTAAAGCAAGACTTGTATGAACCAATAATGAACCAAAACATAAAACATATTTTAGACATATCCTGCCAGGTGGCTGTAGGCACTGTATTTTGTATTTCATGACCAGAGCTCACGATTTAACGAATGAGTGAACATGCCGTCCTTTGACGGAGAACACCCCATTGGCCAAGTTGTGTACGTAAAATACCTCAATGTTATTTGCAATATCACCTCATTGTGATATTGGCATAACAAAGATATTCGTGGATAATTACCCACACTTAACTTTTTCAGTTGATAACACATTCATTGCCTTTGGACATGAACTGTGCGCAACTGGCACGTATGAAAAGATAAACTGAGATTTATTAAAAGGAAAAAAATGCATACATTGAGAATACAAAGGTTTACTTAACCTTTCACTGAATTCTATCGTCTTTGCAGCCTCCTGCCGCTGTTCCCCAGAGGATATCCTCAATTGCCAAGAATTCCCGGGCAGAGAAGACTCGCTCTGAGCTGGACTGTGAGTTAGGGTGTCTTAACTGCAATGCAATTTTACAGTGCAGTTTATCTTCATAAAGCACCTAAATACACCACTACCTCTATATAAACTTCAGAGAGCTCCTAAACAGGAGCAGAACAAAACAACAACTTATAAGGAAATAGAGATTACAATGAGATGATGTGGGACCACGGTAAGATAAAATGGGAGTCTTTAAATTGCATGTTTTATAGCATTATAGCATTTTTATGACTGCCAGAAAATAGTATTTCTTAAATTTCGATTTAAAGCTTTCGTGACTGCAAGGATTCATCTTCTTTGGTTCTTTCGGTAAAGTCATGTAGAATGAGAATAAAATAATAAAATAAAACAATAAAATTATCACGACGTTTCGGCCACAACACAAGTAGCCTTCTTCAGGTGAAGGAACAAAACTGTCGGGACGACAGAGCTTCATTGAAGCTTCAATGAAGCTCTGTCGTGACCGAAACATCGTGAGAATTGTATTGTCTTATTTTATTTTATTATTTTATTCTCATTCTACGTGACTTTACCGAAAGAACCAAAGAAGATAGTATTTCTTAGTGAAACTGATGTAAATATTCAACTGGGAAATCGTGAGCATTGCGGAAGTTGCTTCAAGTTACGCTGGTGTATTATTGGAGTGTGAGACTGTATCTGTGCGATGGTTTGAATACACGTTAGATATCGAATTTCTTCCCTTCACAGTTGATCAGTTGAGATTTCAGCCTCCGATTCCCAAGATAACAGCACCGCAGTACATGGAGGTAGGGTGTATTGTTTAAAGCTATGCATTCTCCCTTTCATTTCGTACCATTGAAGGCTATAGCTGTTTCAGCTTTTTGCTTTTCTTTCTCTCTCAATTACAGTTCAGTTGTTACTGTCAGTGTCATGTTATACGCTCGGGCAATTTCCATTTGGAATGAATAGCAAGTGCTGCACCTCCCTGGGTCTGAACCATCCTGGAAGATGATGTAACGTAACTGCTGCTGAAGTCCCTTCAGTCGGCCTCGTGTTTATTTTTAGTTGCGCAGCATTTTATAAGATATAAATAGAGTGTGTGCAACTTGGAAATGTAATCAAAAAGGTTCATTTTCACAGCAAGAAAATGACAAATTTAGTGTAGAACATAGGCACCATAGACTGGGGTTTAAAACATTGTGAAAAGTTCCTTGGTTAACTTAATAAGATTTTTTTTTAATTCCTGTTGCCTGACTTTTAAGGCATGGACACACAAAGGCTACTTTTTCTTGACAGTCAAAGCAATATACGATTTTTTGAGCTGGAATTTATGAAAATTATGTGCAGAACGTAACTTGATATATTGGCTTTTGGTGCAGCCATCGGTGAACGGTTTGAAACCACGAAATCTATTTGAGAATCCGGTTTAATCACGGTCCGCTGCCTAGATTCAGACCCAGGAGCTTGGCACAGTCTTGGCAGTGGGATCTCAGTGCTCTAAGATTAGTGTTGGCTCCCTGAGCCACCTAGCCACCACCTCAGCTTTTTGTATTTTTATTTAAAAAAACATCTTTGTTGGTCAATATAATATGAGTACTGAGGTGCAGTTGAGTGAATTAAGCTCTCTCTGGGGGTTATGTGTGTATATAGAACTTTTTTTGCACCATACGTAGCCAACCGGTGCTATAGTTATAACTATAGAATGTTCTCTATAGCGCTTTGTTAATATATGTCCGTGCGTGCATTTAATTGCGTGCAGGAAAATCATCGGGGCTTTTCAGATCAATACGCCCCAGCCAGAGGCCATCAAAGGTATTCTGCAAAGCAAACATCAGAAGTACTTCTCATAACATATTTTATGAATACATTCCTCTTGATTTAAACATTTACAGTTTTCAAATGCTCTAGTAATTTAGATGTAATGTTTTCTTTACCCAGATTTCAGCAGGGTGCAGAAGATGATGATGATGGTGGAACGTATGTACTTTTCCCACATGGACCATCTGATAGACATTGATGCGCTTCACGAGTAAATAAATAGATTTCGCTCATTTGTGGACACACTTAGATGTTTGGCTGCACATAATGGCATAAACTTGCATGCTATGCAATCGTAATCATCAACCCTGATCTATCTACCGCTGGATGAAGGCATCCCCTTGCCATTCCTTATGATGCCATACCCCGTCTTGCTCTTGCACATGAGCTGATCACTCCATCTCCACATTGGTCATCCTCTTTGGCATGATCTCTCCTTTTGGTTGAGTGATGCAGTGCATTGAAACCTTATCAACAATTAAATGTAGTCAGCCTGTTAAATTATTGTCTACAATGTATAATGTACCTCTTCCAAGACATCTCATCAAGGACCTTTTGACAGCACTGGTGTTGGCAAGTAATTTCAGCACTGCCGTTGTTTCTTTGCTTTTTGTGTAACGGTCATCAGCTGGTTCACAATCTAAATGTATTATTGTGTTGTGCATGTGGGATGTTTAATTCAGGCTGAAGAAAATCCCCCCTCCTCTTCCACCAAAGGTACTAAGACGAGACTGATCTTGTATTTGATTAAAATGCTTTTTTACCCAACTACATCTCATTCATATGTTGGCAAAACCTTGACGATTTACCCTATTTGTCCAAAGAAATCAAGCGAAAATGAGCGCAACAACATGTTAACGCGGGTCTGAGTCTTGTTATTGTGGGAGCATTCGTGAGCATAAAATGGGGACGATGATGGTAGTGGTAAAGACAGTGGTGATGAACCTTCACCCAACTCCTGCAACTCTGCTGATCTGTCACAGCCTTGGTGCAAGAGCCCCATGGATGACAACAGCGAGGGCTCGGGCACCATCAAGCAGCGGCCTGCAGCGCCGTCCCCGGCACGGTCCGACGAGCGCTACCCTCCCGTGCCCCGGCAGAAACCCACGAGCCCGCCTCCGGCGCAGGGCTATGGCCCAGCCCCGGTGCCGCCTCCGCGCGTCTCCCAAGTTGGGCAGTCGGCCTCGCCCATGCAGCAAAACCGACCCAAGTACAACGTCCATACCCCGCCGCTTCCACAAGTCGTGTCGCCCAGCAAGCCCGGACAGCCCTTGCCCGCACCACGCCAGCGATTCCACAGCCCGCCGCCGCCACCACCCCCGTATGCTCACACGCCACACAGAGCAGCCACCCCCTGCTACTGCCGCACAGCTCTTGGCTGCATTAGAGATGGAGCAGGTGGTATGATTTTGCCCGCCAGCGTTGATTTATTTCCAGCCAGGCAACAAGCCCATTTAGATCAAAATAATCTCACGCATCATGGGTTAGCGGTAAAACACTCTCTGGGAATATATTGAAATTGCCAAATTGTAATTTTTGTTTCATTTGGCTGTATCTTGAAAATCTGGGGGAGGGTTGTTTTGGTCAACATTTCAATTGGGCTCAAAAGTCACTTATGTCCTGCAATAAATAGGGCTGAGTGTATTATTTTCAGGCAAACAACAAAAATGCGAGAATCGGTTGCATGGCCGTAAGACACTTAAACTTGTGAAAATCCGCGATTCTCAAAGGTATTCGTTGAGACTTGACATGTGTATATGTAGCCCATGGACCGACATTAGTCGGCAAAACTTATGTTTGTGATTCTTGCAATTGTATAAAACAATAGTTGAGGTTTAGATGTTATAGCCGTTAAAAAATATGATCACGTTCACATTGATTGTCCTTCGTAAAGAAACTGTTGCCACTAAAGTTGTGCCACGGTGCATGTTACCAGCTGCAGGGGAACCCCTCGGCTTGTGTAGGTTGTAGCTGTGTACTGCGGTGGCAAGATGTTAGCTACCTCGCCTGGTCTACAGGAGGTCATGGGTTTCATCCCGACCCTGACACCTTTATATTTGGAGTTTGCATGTCCCTCTCCCCTTGGTCATGTGGATTTTTCTCCGGGTCCTCCGGTTTTCCCCCCCAACATTTGGAAAAATGCGTTTTGAGTATTTGCCTGCTATAAATGTCCACACGATAATCCACTTCGTTGAACTATCATTTGTGGCCAGGTTGCTTCTGAAAAGGAGCTGTATAGCTCAGTGAGCCCCTTAGTAAAAACAAAAAAAATAGTTTATAGTAATACCGCCGACGGGGGAATTTGTTGGCTTGCAGACACAACATGGGCAGGAACGGGCGGCCCACCCCCGCGGTGCGGCGCTCCAATAGCGCATCGCCACCTCCGCGGCCACCGCTGCCGGACCTGGTGAGCGGAGCCGGGGGTTCGGCCGGGCGCCGTTGCTCCGCCGAGGTCCTCTCCACCACCGACCACCTGCAGCGGATCAACATGGGCCATCACAACGCGCTGGATGGAAGCAAGTTTCTTCCAATGCTACTTGCACACATTTAAACGTCTTCCAATGCTACTTGCACACATTTAAACGTGTTTCCTGCCCCAGGGCTGCCGCTGCGTTGTAGTCCGATTCCAGAGGTCGCCACTCTTGATTTTCCAGTGCGGCGTTTGGAACTGTGGGCAGGTTTTGTAAATTCGCCTCGCCACCCCCTCTCCCACCCAGCAGCATAAGTGGGTACACCACAGTCCATCAGCAGGTTGCGTGCGATTGGGGTAAAGTGTGGGTGCTGTCATTTATGGTCAGCGTTGAAGAGTAGACCAATATACCCTCGAGAGGGCTGCTCTCTTGAGCTTGCTCTTGTTGAGGCCCTTCCTGTGGCATTGGCATGAGCAAGGAATTGAAGGGCTGCACTTTTACTTTTTACATTCTGCTTGTTCATATCACGTGGGGGGGGGGGGGGTACGTCCCATCCCATCAGATCTTGGAGACTATCCAGGCTTGAGTGAATCTGTGCTGTTCTGTGAAAGCCCCAGTGCAAGAAACTTCTGGACAACATTGCCAATCACACGTCAAACAGGCTGTCGCAGGTCTGTGATCGATAAAACGAGCTGTACAAGTTTACATGTATAGAAACTTTCAGTATATTGCTTTGTAAGTATATCGGACAATGCTTGCTCATTTCTGCCTGGTGAACCCAGTATGAACCTGCCTCTTGCATCTGGTTTGATTGGACCGGTCTCGATCAGTATTTTCAAAATTCCATCTCTGTAGGCCCCTTGTTGTGATGCTGGCATTTTACATTCATATGCAAATCAGACTGCTCGTATGCAAATCACACTGCACCTGTGGAGTGCAGTTTCAGAAACACTGGTCTAGGCAGTTATTAACTATGTATGTATGTTGAGCTTCTTGCGCGCTGTACGTAGCCAACCATGCTGATCGGAGGTGTGGGGGAAGGACAAAAATCTTAACACTAAAAGCAATTCTAAAGAAATTAGTTTTCAATCTAGATGTAAAAGTGCATAGCTCCAATGGCTTCCTTATATTTGAAAGCACGCGATGCAGAATCTTGGTTCGACTAAAGTCATCCGATGCCCTATGAAGCTCTTTTTCATAGATGTTTCGGAGGGGTGGTTACAGATGCCCAGCTGTAGTTTTACCAACGTTGTTCTGCTTCAGTTGCATTCGTGGCTGGTCTGTAATCTTACAAATAGCTCTATTCATTTTTAAATGATGTTATCCAAATAACCCTTGTAATTGTTGTACAACTTATTAATTGGTTTAGCTGTGTGATCATTATGCAATTCTCAAAAGAGCCACACCTTTGAAGAATTTCCTAGTGTTGGATGTGATTATGTATTACATTTTCTCAGTAGAAATACAATAGTTCTTTGACATCTTTAAGGAGCCCTTCCTTGCTACGGCATGACCCACTGGTCACTGGAATAATAACATGTTATTTTCCTCATTTGATTGCAGGAAATCGATAGCACAATTGGCAATATAACAATTAGCAAATGGGCTAAAGCTGAAGTGGATAATTCTGTTTACAATTCCCTGTTGCCTCATTTGCATTTTTCCCCTTAATTTTCCCATGGGGTAGATGTATTAAGCCCACACATGTGAGCAGTTAAAGAGAATGCCCGTCGTCTGGCTCCATCAGGTACCGTGGCGGAGAAGCAGGACGTGAGCCGTACTAGCAACTGCGCACCGCTGGACCCTCTGCCAAAGTCGTCGGTGAGATTTCTTATACAATCGCATTGAGCGTTTACGAAGGAATGTATTCTACCCGTCGGAAAGCTTTTTTCAGGCACTTCGTATGGATTCTTGGGCAGCTATCCAAGGCGTGAAGTGTAGGGACCCCAAGAAGAAGTGCCACTTTTTTTCCTTCTCTGCACAAAGCTATGTGCAAGGAATCTGAGCTCTCCCATTTTAAATAATAAAAAAAATCCTGTCGTGGCCCAAGTTGGCAGACTGTCCTTCGAGTGGAGCAGTGGAACATTATCCGAGTTGTTAATTTATTTTACTATATTTCTTTCGCTTTTTTATTGTTATTACACAATTACCATTAAATTTGTGGCCGCACCTAATTGTGTGGCCTCTACGAAGTGGGTACTTATATAATACCCCTTGCTGGTGATAAAGTAGGCCTATCTGAGTTATAATATACCTCTCAATTTTACGGTGAGTGATGTTGATTTATGTTTTAATAACTCATGCTGTTTTATATTAATATTTCCACAGGAATCAAGTAGTAAATCAAAGTAAAGATTAATTGTTACTTTTAGTGCAAGTACTGGAATTATAGAAATGTTTGATCTTACCCCTGATCGATTTAAAATACATTTTTCAGTTCCAATTGTGATGTCTGTCTTTTGCTCAGAATTTGCTTGCCAATGGACTGCCACCAACACCAAAAGTGCATGTGAGTGTTCTAATGGATAGCATGCAAACTTGAAAGAATCCACAATAAATATTGCCTTTTTATTGAATTATTCAATGTGTTGCATATTTTCAGACACATTTGTTAGACCATATGTTCTCAATTGTAGCAAATACAGCCGTTAATGATATCAGTCATTCGGTTTATTTTGAGTGAAGCCCATTGAGCTAAGAAGCCCTCTTTTCATGGTGACCCAGCCAAGGTGGCAAGCACATTACACGGGAAGGGAGGGCTTACAAGGTTTGCATAAAACAGAAGCAGGTAAATGTTATAAAGATGACTACAAAATAAAGAAGTTTTAAATTATTTTAATAACTCAAAGATAACCACGACTATGTACATTATGCACGCAGACTTAAATGGAAGAGTGGAAAGAAGTAATGACGGATATGAAAGGAACCATGTAGGATATGGAAATGGCAGTAGGAATGGGGGAGGAGAGGACATTCTTTGAATGGCCCAGGCAAATGGTTTTGCAGTGGTGAATACCTACTTCCAGAAGCAGGAGGGACATTTGATGATCTACCAGAGTGGAGAGGTGAAGAATCGGATGGATTTTATTTTGGTGAGGAGGAAGCACTTGAAAGAAGTGAATAACTCCAAAGTGATCCCTGGAGAGTGTGTGGCTGGACTATTGGTGGCAAATTGCATAGTGAAAGGAGTTAGGAAGAAGAAGGTGAGACAAAATAACTGTAGCAGGGTAAAGTGGTGGCGACTAAACAATGAGAAAGAAAACTGCTGTAGGCAATCTATGCAGAAGTTAAACAACGTAAGGTCGAGGTGGAACGTGAATAAAATATGGGAACAACTGGCGAGTGGAATACTGAAAGCAGGGTAGTACAGTGGGAGTTGGCAAAGGAAGACCGATGCAACAGAATTAAACATGGTAGTTGAGTGATGGAGTGCAAAAGGCAACTAGAGAGAAAAAGGCCAAGTTTAAGAAGTGGCAGAACACGAGAGAGAAGGACCATCTGGATGAATACCTGGCAGCGAGAAGAGATGGAAAGCGAGTGGTAGCAATGGCAAAAACAACAGCATTTGCACAACTCTACCAGAATTTTGACAGCAAAGAAGGTGAAGATGGTATATCGCTTGGCCAGAGCCAGAGAGAGAAAGACCAGGGACATCAACCATGTGAAGGACGAACAATCTTGGATGAGATGAAGTTTAGAGAGAGATGGAAAGAGCTGAATGTGGAAAACCCAAGACATGAAATGGTTGAGGAACATCAAATAATTGAAGTGGTTGCAGATACTATAGCCAGATACTATAGCAATAGACTATAACCAGAGACTATAACCAGATACTATAGCCAGATACTATAGCCAGAGAAGAGGTGGTGGGTGAAGGCTCTGGGGAGCATGAAACATCAAAAGGCAGTAGGGCCAGATGAGATTCCAATTGATGTGTTTAAATTAATGGTAGAAAAGGGTGTAGAAATATTGATGGGGCTGTTTGGGAAAATCTGGATGGAGAAGCAAATTCCAGATGTGTGGAGAGAGCGAGGCACATTGGAAGGTGATGTGCAAGAGTGTGGGAACTACAGAGGAGGAGCTTTGATGAGTCATACCATTAAACTCTGGGAAAGGATCATAGAAAGGAGACTGAGGAATCTGGTGGATATTGACGAGAGTCAGTTTGGATTCAAACAGGAAAGGTCAACAATGGATGCAATCTTTGCTCTGAGAGTATTGATGGAGAAGTTCAGAGAAGAAATGGGACCGTCATGTGGTGTTTATTAAACTAGATAAAGCATACGACAGGGTTCTTAGGTCATCTGGTGGTGTATGAGAAGAAGAGGTATTCCTGAGATTTATGTCCAGCTGATCCAGGATATTTGTGATGGAGGGAAAATGCATGTGCGAAGCAGCTGCGGGGTGTCAGGAGAGCTTTCAAGTCAAAGTTGGTAGTGAAGCAAGGCTCTCCCCTGAGTCGCTTCCTGTTCATTCTGGTGCTGGACACTAACGAGAGATATTTAGAGGGAGCCCCCCTGGTGTATGCTGTTGGCAGACGACGTGGTATACGGTGAAAGCAGAGGGGTAGTGGAAGATTATTTGAAGATCTGGGTGCAAAAGATTGAAGGGAATGGGTTGAGCATCAGTCGGACACAGACGGAGTACATGGTGGCAAATTTCAGTGGAAATAAGGAGGATTGAAAATTGGAAGTGAATAGTTGATTAAAACAAACGTATTTTAAGTACCTGGGGGCAACGATATGTGCTGATGGAGAGACAACAGGAAAATGATGTGGGTCAGAAGGTGCAAGTGATGCAAGTGGAAGGAAAGAGATCAAGAGGAATGCAGAAGAAGAGGTGGGGCGGTGTGGTGTGATCAGACATGGTGGCCCGGGGAGCAGAATGAGAGATGGTGCAGGACAGGGCAGCGTGTAGAAGGTTGGCAAGGACAGCGGACCCCAGATGATTGGGACAAACGTGTGGAAGAAGAAGAATATGTACATTATGCACGCCACTAGAATTTAGAAAGCAATTTTTTTTGTAGAACATTTACAATTGCATATCCTATTTTAAATTAAGTGTTTGAAAAAATGACACTTGAAAGTTCCAGGCACAAATTGCTTTATAAAAATTTGTATATCTAAATTACATTTTATTCACTACATAAAGTAATTGGGCCTTATACAGAATTGAAAGCTTACATTGCATTGTTTCATACGCATGTACACTTACATGCATGCGTTGTTCTTTAGATTCATTGATTTCCTGTTATTGACTAGGATTCAATCAGTTGATATCCAGCACACACTAAAAATGTAACGTGTTAATAAACAGTGATGAAAGCGTTTTTTTTTTTAATACTTACTATCCTGGTTTTGCAGATGGGGGCTTGTTTCTCCAAAGTGTTTAATGGATGCCCGCTGAAGATACATTGTGCAACATCCTGGGTTCACCCAGATACAAGAGGTAACTCGCCAATCATAAGGAGTAAAAATTATTTGTCAGCTGTCTGTGTGGCCCATTGGGCCATCAGCCTTCTAGGCACCAAGCCAAAACTTATTGCCAAGATCTTTATTGGTCTCTGCTGTGTGATATGATGGTATAGGAAGCCACTTCATAAAATTGTTAAACAAAAAGATTGACGGCATCTCTCAGAAGTAGTGCAATGATTTTAAATATATTTGTTTCATATTTCCCTGCTATTTTATCTCGATTGTGCTATCAGCATCATATCGTGATACTGAGTAGCTCACCGAGCAGTGCAATCCTTCATGTTAGGGAATGGTCCAAGGAAGCAAATGCCACAGCTACTTTATATGGCCTCTTGTTTCCTGGCACCACGTGGGCGAGATGTTAACTACCTCGCCTTGTACACAGGAGGTTGTGGGTTCGATCCCAACCCTGATGTCTGTATATTTGGAGATTGCCTGCTCTCCTTGTAGTCGCGTAGATTTTTCTCTGGGTCATCCGGTGTTTCCCTCCACTTTTAGAAACGTGCGTTTAGAGAATTTGCCTGCTATAAATGTCCACATGATAAGGCACTTTGAGCTATCATTTGTGGCCAGGTCGCTTCTGAAAAGGAGCTATATAGCTCAGTGGGCCTTAGTTGGTAAAATAAAAAATAGTTTAGTTTCATATAGAATGGGGCAGCAATTTTCCACCTGCTGTGACACTGAGAGCAATGTTCGTTGGACGACAGTAACATAATTTAAAAGTAATCCTCAGAGCTGGAATATGTCCAGATTGGTGTAGAACCAAATTTAACGTGAATATTTTTTGTGCTGTCACTGGGCTGAGATCGTCAAATCGCTATACATGAGAATCCAGTTTAATCACAGGCTGCGGCCTGGATTCGAAACCCAGGTTCTCAGCAGTGCCAGTCCGGCACTGCTGAGAGCTTTTAGCCACCATGTCACCTCAGGCTGTGTAATGTTTTCATTGAGGGCTTTTTCTGGCTAGCTGTGGCCTCTGTTGTCATTGTAGGTTCCAGGAATCCTTTTGTAACTTTTGTAAGCATCGCATGCTCATAAGGAAATCTCTCACAGACGTCGTTTTGTTTTCTACCTGTTGAGGTCCTGTTGCTTCACGCCACAAGGGAGACATTTTAAGCAAATGACGTTCGACTTTAGAAGCTTTTATTTAATCTACTTCCTGTCAATGATAATCACTTTTGGGGTTTAATCCTGCCAGATGAAAGGGGTTATTTTTAGATTTGAAGCACGCTTCCTTGCATCCAAATCCTGCCAATGTGTACTCTTATTCTCACCAGTGTCTAGAGCAGCGAAGTAATCCCTGGGGTACTGACTGCAGAATTCACTTTGTTTTAGGTGATTGTCAAACAGCTGTTGGGTATTATCGCACAAAGAAGGAAACATCATTGGCATCTACAGCTGCATGATCAAGCTACCAGTCAGCATGTTGTCTCTTTACTTGGATGGGACAGAAGTTAAAACGCAGATTTTTCAAATTTTTGTTTCCTTCCACTTTTGATTAGCACAGTTGGAACCACTGGATTAGCACGGTTGGCTATGTACAGTGAGAAAGAAGTTCAACCTACATGCTTTTACTATAGCGAATGTGAAATGAGAAGTAGGTTGAGTTCCTACGTCGTTGCCTGCCATGTGCACGTTTTTGGATGTCATTGGACAGCCTTGCTCGCTGCTGATAAGCCTGCTAAGATATGTAAAAGCAATGCGAGTTTTGATTGCCTCTTTACAGACCAGCATCTGATATTTGGTACGGAAGAAGGCATCTACACGTTGAACCTGAACGAACTGCACGAAGCGACAATGGAACAGGTGGCTTCTTCATTACATTGCGGAAGCATATCACTGCATCCGTGCGTTCAGTAACTAAAGATCATTGCTTTGTTTTTTTTCTTTAAAATGTATGTCACTGCTTTTGTAAGTGATACGTTTAAAAAAAACGCACTTGTTGAGGCTATTCAAAAATAGCTGTTGTGGATTTTCTTACTTTCTAGTTGGTTCCACGGAGATGCACATGGCTGTACGTGATGAATAATTTTCTAATTTCTCTCTTGGGTAAGTTTTGCTTCCTCTACCACATTATGCCAAGTGATTTGTATTCTGCAAGCACACTTTATATTCAATGCGTATATATTCTTGAGTTTTAAGCACTTGAAAATGTATTAGAATCTTCTTTGGGGTGTTTTGCCCAGTGAATTAAGATGAAGTGGGTTCATGGATTAAACGATACATTCTAAAACCATGAATGATTTAGTTTAATCCGTCAATACAATTTGTTTAAAACCAGGTGAAAGCCTATTGAAGGAAAATGTGTATATTCTATTGGAAACCTGGATTACATACAACACAGTGCACATTGATAAAATATGATCATTATGAGTACATCATAGTTTTATCATTATATACGTATAAATATGTTTATACTCATTCATTGTAAGCTGTGTTGGCGCAGTGGTAAGCACACTGCATTATGAACCTAGATACCCGAGTTAAATTCCCATCCATAGCCATTGATATATGCCGCAGTTCTTGGCTGCCCTTCAACTCGCACTGACTAGCGTGGTGAGATATTATTAAACAACTTCCATAACTGACATGGCTTGGGGGAAGCCTAAATCCAGGCATAGATTGACAGAGGACTATAAATGTAATGAATTGTGGACATTGGTAAGAGCTGGCGGGATGACGAGATTGTTGTACCATCTACATGGGATGCAGTATGCCACTGGTGCCAGTTTGACATGCCTGGGCATGTGTCCGATCGCTGTTGCATATGTGGTGGCGTGTTGTGATGTCGCACACAGGGAAGACCTGCCAGCTATACTCGCACAATCTGATGTGGCTGTTCGATAACACGCGGAAAGAGCAGAGATTGCCTGGACTGTCGGACATGCTGCACGCCAGGTCATCCACAGGCCTTCCACACCGTGTGCCTTTCCATTCCCCCACACGTTTCATTTTACGTCTCTATTTTAGCATTTTTCAAACTCGTGTTGAGCCTGCCATCCTTGGCCTCTTTCTCTACTCATTGTGGTCCAAGCCCATCTCCATGTCCATTCTACAGACCTTCATATTTTTGGTCACATTTTAAAACCACCTCTTTTGCATAGCTTTCTTCAATCAGTGTTTTTACATGTGTAGAGGAGTACCGCGAGGACCCAACGAGGGGCGAGCGCGGGAAGAGGGACGGAGAAGGAGGAGCCGGAGAGAGGGAAGAGAGCGGAAGGCGAGGAGAGAGTGAGGAGAGAGTGAGGGGAAAGAGGGGAAGGCGAGGAGAGAGGGAAGAGAGCAGAAGGCGAGGAGAGAGGGAAGAGAGCGGGAGGAGAGAGTGAGGGGGGAGAGAGGTGAAGGCGAGGAGAGTGAGGAGGGAGAGCGGAAGGCGAGGAGAGAGTGAGGGGAGAGAGCAGGAGGAGAGAGTGAGGGGAGAGAGGGGGATTTTGGAGGCGAGAGTGAGGAGAGAGTGAGGGGGATTTTGGAGGAGAGAGTGGGGAGAGAGTGGGGAGAGAGTGAGGGGAGAGAGGGGAAGGCGAGGAGAGAGTGAGGGGAGAGTGCGGAAGGCGAGGAGAGAGTGAGGGGAGAGAGGGGGATTTTGGAGGCGAGAGTGAGGAGAGAGTGAGGGGGATTTTGGAGGAGAGAGTGGGGAGAGTGAGGGGAGAGAGGGGAAGGCGGGGAGAGAGTGAGGGGAGAGAGGGGAAGGCGAGGAGAGAGTGAGGGGAGAGAGGGGGATTTTGGAGGAGAGAGTGAGGGGAGAGAGGGGAAGGCGAGAAGAGAGTGAGGAGAGAGTGAGGGGAGAGAGGGGGATTTTGGAGGAGAGATGTGTGAGACGGAGCGGGGTAGCTTCGGGAGAGAGGGAGGAAGGAGGGAGACGTGGACGGGAGGTAGCGAGAGGTCGCGTCAGGTGGAAGTGTGGCGAGTGGAAGAAAGAATCAATGGCGAGCAGCCCTGAGTAAAGACCTGGTCTCCGTGTGATTCTATTACCCGGGGTGTCCAGGCGTAAAACTCTACACATGCATGATATCAGTCCCCATTCTCAAACAAGTTCCAGATGGTTCTGATCAAGTGGGGGAAATTGATTAAGTCTATGGAAGAGCCATTCTATCCATAAGACAACCACTGTTGACTTCCCATGCCTGAGGTATGGGGGACTCAACTGGGATTTCAAATAATTTCCTCCCTGCTTGAAAAGTTGTCGAATACAATTTTGTTCATATTTAACACACAGCTTTATTGTAGTGCTTACATTAGCTCGGTGGAATGTTTGTTCTGGGTATGTGTGTGGTATTAAGGCTTGTTGACAGCTTCCTCTGCGCTGTAGAGAATGTCATGCTCTTAAAATACGATTGTCTGTCAAATTATATAGTGTTTTTATGACAATAGCGCCGCTCACAGACCATTGTGTATATTGCAGGAGATACCCTTCAAACAGAATACCGGAGACCAAGGGATGCCAGAAATGCTGTGTTGGTAAGAGACATTTTAAAATAACAACAAAGATCCTATTGTATGTATGTTGAACTTATTTCGCACCGTACGTAGCCAACCGTACTAATTTGGCCATCTTGCAGTCTGCAAAACACTTTGGCGTACTTGCATATTTTCTATTTAATTATTTTAATTTTACCAGGTAAGGCCCGCTGAGTAATATAAAGCTCTTTTTCAGAAACGACTTGGCCACAAATGACCATAAATCAACGAGAAGTGACTTGTCACGTGCAAGTTTCTAGCAGCCAGAATACTCTCAATGAACATAACTTGCAAAAGCATCACAATATAGTCTTCTTGCTGTAAACCGACCGGGATTACTTGAAATTGACATTTTTTTCCTTTGTTTTTGAATCCCCGGTTACTGTGCAGCCAACAACCTTTACACGGGAAACACGTACCTGTGTGGTGCTCTCACGTCAAGTGTGGTGCTGCTACAGTGGTACGAGCCAATGCAGAAGTTCATGCTGGTCAAGGTAAGGCAACGACCAGAGTGAGTTAATCATTGGTAACGGTTCACAGTTAGTTTCTTTATGAGTTAATTTGTGTAGGTATGATGTGTTTTTTTGTCTTTTTATTGATCCAACCACGGGAGCTGGGGGGATGTACAACTTCTGTAACAAGTGAGTGGTGCATAGCGAGATAGATAGGCGGCTTGGACAGACAACCAAAGCGGACGTATCGGACTGTGGCGTTATGTGAGACCACACATCAGATCTCTTTTCTTCAGGAAAGGACAGGGGGAAAGGGGAGGGAGGGGGGTAGTCGCTCTCATTTCAAGTTCAGGTATTTAAACTCAGGGTCTCCGGAATTACCCCCCCCCCCTCATTAATAATCATTAACTGAACTATTTTTCTGACTTTCAGATTTACTGCAATATACACCCGTCCTTGGACGGGCAAACAAGCTAGTCTTTGAGATTTGATGATCTACCCAAGATGCTGGGTGTATACAACACCTTTTAAACAGCACATACAGTTTTAATAGCCGAATCTTATATAAGTATTTTTAATTGCTCTGTGGTTCCAGTGTCGTGGTTCTCAATCTGATTCGTGTGCCAGTAGTGTAAATAAATGCAGTGTCATCTTTATTAATGCTTTGCGATCAAAAATTACGTTTTTGTTATTGCAGACGTTATTCATCAGGACCCAGTGTTGTGAAGCCGGGCCAAATGATCCTCATAACCTGCCCCGCATGGGGAGGCCATCATCGAGCAAGGAACTGACAAATAGCTGTACATGTACATTTGACTTTGTATCTGAAGAAGTCAAATAGAGCATTGCCCCTAAAGGTTTGTCCGGCATGTGTGTCTGTATTTGTCATTCTGTGGCGCAGCATTTTCACTTCCCGCTGCCCAACCCGCTGAAGGTGTTTGAGATGCTCGTGGTACCCGACCAGGAGTTCCCACTCGTGTGCGTGGCCGTGGGGTGTGGCATCGATCAGGGCCAAGACCTGCGCTTCGAGACCATCAACCTCAACTCTGCCTCTTCCTGGTTCACGGAACTCGGCTCTGGTAATGTGAATGCGCCACAGAGGCGATATGTTAACTACCTCGCCTGGTGTACAGGAGGGTAGTAGGTTCGATCCCAACCTAATGCCTCGGGGCCATCCATTTAGTACGTACGCACAAATTTGTCAACTTGACCACTCCCCTCCCTGTGTACGCACGCGGACTTTTTACCCCCCCCCCCCCCCCCCACCTGCGTACGTACGCCTGACGTACCCCCCCCCCCCCCCGAATCCTATAGAACGGCCGATATTTAATCCACGCAGAAATGATCAAGGATGAATAATATTAACGTCTTTAAGCAAACAGTCCACCGCTGGACTATCTAACTCATTTAAAGGCCAATGTAGACAAATTAATATCGAGGCGTCACCCCCCATACGCAAGAGAACGCATTTGGGTTAACCCCCCCTCCCCCCTCCATGCGTACGTACTTAATGTATGGCCCCCTACCGTATGTTTGAAGTTTGCATATTCTCCCTGTAGTCGCGTGCATTTTTATTTGGTTCCTGCGGTTTTTCCTTCCGCATTTAGAATCAACATGTGTCTACAATGTTTGGCTGCTATACATGTCCACGTGATCGGCACTTATTTGAGCTATAATTTCTCACCAGGTTGCTTCTGAAAAAGAGCTGTATAGCTCAGTAGGTCTTACCTGGTAAAATAAAAAATTTCAGCTTTTTGAACACTCGTGTGCCGGCTGACACACATTCCTGTTAATGTACGTATATTTGTTGAACTTTTTTCGCACGGTACATAGCCAACCGTGCTTAACGGAAGTGCGGGGAAGGACAAAAAACTAAGCGCAAAAAGCGGTTTAAAAAAAGATGCGTTTTCAATATAGATTTAAAAATAAGTAGCTCCAGTGGCTTCCTAATGTCGGAAGGAAGAGCATTCCAGATGGCTGCAGAAGTGCATCTGATGGTTAACCAATATATATTGTTAAACCGCAGCATCGGCAAGTCATCTCTTATCCACGCATTCAGCCCTTTCTTTTTACCCCCAATTTTATTCTATATGTACATCTGATATCATTTCACCTGGGGACTTGGCGTTTTGGGCCTTCAGGCCTGTGTTTCGGCAAGCATGATAGTAAAACAATCTTACTCTGTTCGAGGCATTAAATTTTGTTTACAGTCATTGTACCAATTGTATCCATTGTTGCAGAACTGCTTTAACATTTTAAAATATTTATCGGGGAGGCTGAAAATACGATAGAACCGCATCCAGATTGTCCCTCAGCAAAGGGCGCTCTCTGCAAGTTGATTTCATTTTGGCTGCCAGACCACTTCAGAAATGTTGCCAAATAGTCTGCGAACACTCACAACTTTAACCACAATACTGTTTTTTTTGGGTGAGATCGTGTAAATATATAAATGTGTCGTTAAACCCGCCACCACCCAACACAGCCAACTAGTAAGGTTTGTCACGTATACAGAAATTGTCAATTCGTTACTAGTGCAGCACACCGGTGTGTTGGAGAGCAAAGTCACAACATTTAAAATCTGAGTGACGTTTTGCCAGTAATTACAACTAGCTTCATCAGGTTACAGCCAGACTTGTGGAGAAATCCTCCTGTTTCGTCCCTTAAATAGAGGGATAGATGTGATGACAACACTTGTGGCCAAACCACTGACTGGACTCTGTTGTTATTGTTTATAACATGTTTTAACAGAGAGGGTTAAACCTGGTGGCTTTATTGGGAAGTAATGTACTGAAGGGTTGTTGTGTCGGGGAGTTTCTGTGCACTCGGCTGAGCTCTCCTTCACCTGCATTTGCCGGCTGTGCGATTTTACTAAATTACCTTGTCTCAGTGTTCATCCATTTACATTGCATTATTTTTAAGTGACCAAAAGCCATACGATAATCACATTTAGTTACTTAGTCTGGGGTATGGAGGTAACATTTAACTGAAAAATGTTATGCTCACATATGCGCATTGTGTATTGTGCATGAAATAATTGATTAATCCCTAGATTTTTGCTTTAAAAACAACTTGCAATTATACCCCCCCCCCGTGTTTGGAATGGAATGGATGAAACGGAACAAATGAGATAGACGGCCAGATGAGACATGACAATTCATTCCTGACAGGAGACGCAGTACAAACAGTATAAATGAGACCGGCAGTACAAACAGCACAGTGTACACGGGGTGGGCAGACCAGCGCCAATGAGATGGACATTTGAAACAAGATTGAGCAAACGAAACCGGACAAACAATGACAAAAATAATATATTCTTAAATCGAATTATTACACAGTCAAGTGGTCGAGGGAGGGAGAGGTGAATTGTTGGATGACTAGTCGATACTCAAAGTAGTAGGTGTTCTGCTTGTGGCAAGTCTACCCCCGGTAACAAAACACATGGGACGTTTATTGCAAGCGAGTTGAGTGGTTGCTCTCCCACATTAAAACTGAGCAAAGCTTTCTAAATCCGGATTTTAGCGCCGCCAAAATGACGTTGTTAAATAATACTCATTAGCGTGCAGGAGCGGCACATGTAGGCAGGTCAGACTGCATGACATTAAATCGTCTCTTGTCGGATGATGTACTATTAATAGCCACGAAGATGCAATACTTTGGAGAGAGGTGAACAGCTTCCAATTAGTGATTACATTTGCCGCATTTCAGATTGCCAGCGGTGGAAAACAGCTTCGTCATGCTTGTCCCCCACCCCGCCTGCTGCCTCTACTGTACCCGGGGTGCTGGTGCCGTCGCACAAGCGCTTACTATTTAAGTGGAATTGATTTCTACAGCGGGTGTTGTGCGTTTCTTTTGTAGCACTATGTCACAGTTCAACAGTGAAGGAATATGTCCAAAGCTGTAGGTGAATTTAACAGCAGCAGCAACAACAACAACAAAAATGAATGAACTTCTCATGATATAAAATTATTGTTTTTAAAAGGTCGCCGAGTTAGTGGCAGTATATTTTTGAGAACGTTAAACCTCGCAGCCAAGATGGGGATTACGGTCAGCCGCCTGTGTTGCTGTGTGTTATTTAACGGTGAATGTCTATTAATCTTTGTGGTGCTATTAGCATCGCGTGTTCTTTTAATAATGAGGTAATTAACCCGATAATTAATCTCTGGGAAAAGTTTAATTGCACTGGGGCTTATATTTTCACAAAATGGAATTAAACCTTGTCCTGTAAAAGCTATTGGAGGTTTTAAATTCTCGTAAACAGCCATAGTCAGTCCACTGCAAGTTGAAGGCCTCTGTCATCACCATCCCTTAGCGGTTTTGTGATGATGATGTTTAATATATTTTGTTTCTTTCTAATAATCATGAGCGGGTGTAAATTACTCTTGTTAATTAGTTCAAATTAATAGAGTAAATACACATAATTTAAATATACTGTTACATGGTAATATCCATGCGTTTAACTATGCATTTATTTATTGATTCAAATTTATTCTTATGCAAATATATGTATCGAATGACGCGTGGGAGAATGGATTGTTTGCAATTGAATACAAGGTTTATGCAGATCATGGGTGTAATGTTATATTTAACCTTATAAATAAGACAACTAAAATGTATTTTAAGTGATAATTAAAAAAATACTAATGAAAGCTCAAGTCAAATTATGCGCCCCCTAATCATATTTTACTGATTTGCTGGAAGGGTAAATAGCTACTTGTATGTAGAACTTAGTTTGCACCCGACGTAGCCAGCCGGGGTAATTGGAGGTGTCGGGGAAGGACAACAAACTATACACAAAAATCAGTTCTGAAGAAATGAGTTTTCAATCGAGATGATTTAGCTCCATTGGCTTCGCACTTCCTTCCTACAATAGGAAGCCACTGGAGCTATGCACTTTTAAATTTAGATTGAAAACGAATTTCCTTAGAACCGCTTTTTGCTGCTAATAACTGTTTAACTTTAAAACAATTAAGTCTGTCTTTTTTATATAAAAAATGTGTTTCTAATTGACCGCATTGAATGCAATGTGCGCTAATACAACCTTTTGCGTTGTCCCGTTTTAGGCAGTGCCCAGCTGGAAGCTATCCACCTTAGCCAGCTGGAGAAGGACACAGTGGTGGTTGCCATAGACAGTACGTACCGTGTCCTTTCTACTCTCACCCTTCACACTTCTCGACGGCAGCGGTGCTACTTTGAGAAGAGTGTTACTATGGGGGTCAGACAACCTCGTGTATGATCTCCTTTGCATGAAAAAAGGCAGCTTGATTACCTTGATCATCTTTTTTTTATTGTAACGTTTTTCAATTTGCGATTCAACTGTTTGATCGACGTAATATTATGACACAAATCATCCATTCGGAACGCTTGCAGAGGTGGTTCATCACCCCACCCTGTTTTTGTTTGAGAATGGCCCACAGAAGGAGATATAACAGAACTACTTTTGAAATCTATTCTCACGACCTCTTATTCAGACTTCCGGCGCTTACACTTCCCACATACCTTCCAATAGTGATCTTTATTGCATTCCAGTCAAAATTATTTTTATTTTATTCTGAGACAAGAAAATGTTACCTTATTAAACAAAGTACCACGTTTTGTATAGGTCATAAAATATATCCTTAATATAGCTGTTTGTAATGAATGATTTATTTTTTATAAGATAATTGCAAAATGACAACATGTTTAATTTGGGAAGGGATACTGGCTTATAAACGAGGATTTTAGAGACGGGGTTTAGTAGACAACACGGACATAATCCTCTTCTTCAGACTCCCATCTGGCAGGGAACGGACGGCCAATAGATGGTGTCGTATAAAAAGAAAATAGGATCTTTTAATTTTTGAATTTCGTCTTGGTGTTTTTTTGCCCATACGGTCAACTTTATTCCTTGGTGTAAAATACTCCCAATGTAGAATCATGTAGTGTGTTTGCGGCACAAGCATCACGCGTAATGGAAATACAAATATAAGTGTACGTGCTTCTCCAGCCGTCAACTTCAGATTCATCATCCTCGAGAACACTGCGGAAAATTGGGTTAGCATTTTATATGCCCGAAGACCCGTTGTGTAATTGACTTGGGAGCTAGTTAGTCGTGAAGGTTAATTATAGTCTATGAAATGCTTCAGTAATTGCCATCCAGGAACATTGCACATAACTGGAGCATGCGAGCCATTGCTGTGTGCGGCACACTTTTCCCTGGGACAGCGCCGCTGTTGATGCTGCATTTGGTCTGCATGCAGTCAAAACAACAGAGGCAGCCACTGCTAATGTCCAACCGTCCCTTCTGAAAATGATGTCTTTTCATACATATCCTAAATGGATTCAAGGTGTAGGTGTGGTATTTGTGAGAGATGGCAGCAATGCATGCCTGCAGTGCAGCAGTTGAGAGGCAAGAAGGTTGCTGGATTGGGGATATTAAGGCTAAGTGAGACACCCAAGGTTAGCAGAGAGACCCGTATTCAGGTAGAAGTAATATATGTGAGGAAACTAATATAAAAACTAATATAGCCTTTAGGGAACAGGACATCTATTGATAAACACACATAATCTGCTCATGCTGACCCAAACAAGTCCTGCCTAGCGATAGGACAATCATTTACTTTGCGTCCAATTTCCAGGCAATTTTATAAACCCCCCCCCCCCCCCCAACTGAAAATGTCATGGTCTTTGTTGGGCATTTCATGCTTTTTCTTAATATTTTTTTACACCAGTAATTGGGTTGAGAGCAGGAGCCACACAATGCTAGGGATGATTGAATTATATTTGCTGTTATTCATGAGTGGAAGCATTCTCCTCTGCTTTGCATAGTACGTATAGTTCCCAAAACAAAGGGGGAAAATATGAGAAAATTGCATGCCTTTCAATGCATGGGAAAGGGTAAAAACGTTTTTCGAAACAACCTTTATAAAATTTAATGGATATGGCTTTAACTTGTCCATTGAAAGGAATAAAAGTCCTCTGGGTGAACTGTAATATAATGAGCTCTGGCATCTGGTAGCGCCTTGATAAAGGGCTTGCAAACAATACATCCCTGTCTCGTACGCACAAGCAAGCACGTGGAAAAAGCTGCTCTTATTTCATATTCACTCATCGAAGCCTGATGGCAGTTACAAAAGGTGACATTTAGGAGTGCCTGTTCCAATTTGCTACGTAATAAATATTGTGCTGCCTAGTCCACTGTTTTTTTATTCATGATCGCCCCAACTTCATTCTTATTCACCTCTTTTTGAAAGGTGTATAACAGTGTTAAGGTGGTGTACTTCCTGCTTGACTGGGTAGTTCTTGCATCTTATAAACCCGTGTGGTTCCAGTCGTTCGTCTCCAATTTTTTAATACCTTTTACTACGTAAAAAGGAATACACTTTTGCCTTCTGTGTACATTTCTGCGGTGGCGAGGTGATGATATGTTGCTGCCAATGCTAGTATCTTTATAATGATACTGGTGCTTTGCGAATCAGAATCTACGCAAACCTCACACAATTCCAAGAAGTTTTATGATTCCTGCATTTCACTCCTGCCACCGTATATAAGGCTACCTTGAGGACCTGCAGGCGAGTGTTCCACGTTTGTCGCTGTCTGCGATCCACCAACCCCCACCTTAACATCACTAAGTTACAGGTGTGCTGGCGATGACACATTTTACTTCATTGAAGTAATGGAATGCAAAGCGCAGCTATATAAAACAAAAATACACTTGCGTTGTATAAGATTGCTTCTGTTTATTTTGTCTTGCACTGCACAAGCTTTTAAGTCAACAACTTTGGACGACCAGTTTTAGCAGTTGGTTTAAACGCTGATCTTTTCCAGAACGTCAAACAATAATTCAGACATTGGCCGCTGCTTGCCAGCGGTTTTGTTTCCAGGGAAACGCTGCCCTTGTTTATTTTTTATTCCCACAACTCCAACGTGACAAAGCGGTTTGCGAAAACATTATACACGCCGCCCGACGCCATAGAGACATCACCCAGTGCTCTCCCACACGTTAATCTCCGTACGAACAAACACATTTGTTTAATATGTTCGATTGTTGGGATGACGTGGTGCCTACCACTCCGTGGTGTATTGCCACGGCACTTCATTTGCAAGCAACTTCATTTACATGTGCAGTGGTTGCTCATGACTAACGTTTTCACGATTGTATTCGTATTCTTTGTTGAAGTCTGGAGAAGTTTAATCGTTGAAAACTATTGAATATATCAAAGTCCGACCCATGTAAGTGTTCTTGCCCTGTTGAGTTTGTGTTGTCAATGTGCATACTCTTCCAACACCGAGTCATTTGGGTTATCAGATCAGGGCGTGCTGAATACTTATATATAAAGGAATACAGTGGTCCCTCGTTTATCGCGGGGGATACGTTCTAAAAATAACCCGCAATAGACGAAATCCGCGAAGTAATCAGCTTTATTTTTTACAATTATTATACATGTTTTAAGGCCGTAGAACCCCTAACCACACACTTTTATACACTTTTCTCAGACAGGCATTAACATTTTCTCACATTTCTCTCTTATTTAAACACGTTCAAACTTTCGCAGATTTAAAAAAAAATAAGTACAATATTAGTAAATGAAACCAAAGATCAAAACCTGTTTTCAAGCCCAAACATGTTTGTAAATCTGGCTAGCCGAACGCATTCTGTACTCCCTTAGCTAATCAGGACGCAGAACACATGTGCGGTTCTCCCTTAGCCAATCAGGACGCCGAACACAATGCGCGTTCATACTGTACGCAGGAAAAAAAAGCATGCAAAATTACACTAAACAAAAATCCGCGAAACAGCGAGGCCGCGAAAGGTGAACCGCGTTATAGTGAGGGACAACTGTACCATCAATTGTCGCCTGTCACTGTAAATACTGTTTGGGCTCAATAATACAACTTTATCGGTTGTTACTTGTGATGTAACAGCATCTTTTCAACAATTATTGATAATTTAGTCTCACTTTAATGCATTGAATTGTGTGAGAACTACAAACTTAGCAGAAAAAATTAGAAACTATCTAAATTAAACGTAAAAAAATTGTCTGCATATGTTTTATGAATAATTTCACCTAATCACAGCCTTGAAACGTGACAGTTTGTGACCATTTAATTGCTGTGGTTTGCAGAGGATGGGGTGAATTATTCCAGCCTTAGCAGTTATACTTGTGGCATACTTTGTATACAATTATTGAGGTTCATAATGGACATATGGGACTTAAAAGGGCTTGTGAGGCCCAATCTAAAATACTTCATACAAAAGTCTATTGCATACCATATTAGGGTGCACAAATGGAAATCCTAGATATATCGTTGTTCTCCTTATGGTCAGTGCAAATTGGCAGGACACTGCGCGATGGCTCCACGCAGGGCTGCGTGCGAGGTTATGTCACGACCTGGCAGTTTCGTAATGGCGGTATGGAATTACAGCTTAGGCGGCACAGCCCTGCGGACAATCAAATTAAATGATGAAAAGAACACAACTCAGGTGTGTGTCACCGCCACCCCCGTGCGTCGATCCCGTAATGCGAACCACCGTCCGCATGTTCTGTTGCAGCTCACAAGTGACAGGCTCAGAGTGTCTGTGGTATCGGCTCACAAGCACATACACGAGTGTTGTTGTTTGCAGCCAGACGGTCCCACACGTGCATGTTGAATGGCCCATGGAAACACCGTTAACGATGGGCGGGGATTCCTATTCTCAGGTTGCATGGGAGTCATGGGAGCTTAGGGGGCCACATGTGGGATGGGTAAGGGTTGGATCAGAGGTCGGCAACCAAAATAACAAGAAGAGGCGTTTTTCTCGAATTCGGTGAAAACCTCAATATTTCAAGAGCCGCAATGCAACGTGAATACGAGACGGTGGGGTCCTTAATAAATAACGAGTCACGAAGCGGTCCTTAAAGAGCCGCATGCGGCTCTGGAGCCACAGGTTGCGAACCCCCCCTGGGTTAGACGGTTAAACAGTTGGGGTGTAACTGTTGACCCCCTATGCCCTCCTGGTGATTTCATGAATTTTTGTCATTCGGAGCCAGTATTGATTCGTTTTTACTGTTTTTGAAATGTGTTGTTTTTTTTACAACATTGTGTCTAATTTTATTCACCGTTTTCGCATACATTTATCGTTAGTATATCGTTTCAATGTATTTTGCATAAATCGATTCTTATGAATGGGATTTGCACCTATCTTGAGTCTTAAGCATCGGTATTAATTGGTGCATTCTTACACCCCGATTAGATGATGAATGACTGTGTAGTGTGTTTATGGTGCTTACTGTGGGGCAGGCCTGTTGGAAGTTTGAACATAGTGCATGTAGTAAAGGCGTAGTTCAAACAGAAGTTGATTACCACATAAGTGGGTTTAAGTTCAAATTACTAACTCCATAAGTTAGAAGCACAGTAATAACTTGGAAATTCAAAGGTATTCCTTTCCAGATCTCTATATCCCAACTCAACCACTTAGCTCCTGATGAGCACAAATGTTGTTAAAATCGTTGAAATTGCTTCTCAGAGCTGAGTATAAGAATTTGGTGTCTTATATGTGCAGATCACGTGACTGCTGAGTGAGAGCAACAATGTATTCATTGGTTATATTTGCTAGAGTGATATTTGGTTATTCCACATGTTCCCTTGAGAATAGAGGCAAGGGCAGTCAAATATTGCTTCCATAAATGCGTTCACATTCAAGTTGCTTGAGAGGCGAGAAGCTTGAATATAAAAATGTATGTAAATAAGAAACAATGTATAGTTTACACTAGTTGTTGGTTTATATTTCCCTTTTACAAATTGCATTCCAATTGTATTATTGCCATCGTGTCATTGGACGAACTGTCCATGTCGGAACATCTGCAGAGCAGTGCATCACCTTCTGTTAACATCTCGTGAAGAAGTCAGAATTTATTCCGAAATCCCCTCAAGTGACTTCGTTTATTCACACACGAGGGGGGTAATTTTTGTACGCACCCTGCTATCGATACATTTTAATTGCACGTCAGTTCGACACAATATATTTGAATTCTCGGGTGGAATTTAGCCAGTCAAATTAGAAGATATATTTTTGTACGTGACTTGCTCTTGCGCTCAGTCATTTGTGACTGGCCTGAGATGATCAACTTTCTACACATTGTGAACCCAGGTTTATCGCAGGTGGCTTAAAATGTGGATTTGATCCCATGTTATCGGCAGTGCCAAATCGGTGCCATGACCTTTGAACCTTCCAGGCATATCTATATTTGTGTTTTTATTATGCATCGCATATGCAAATGCTTGTTTGTGTCTTGGGGGAAGAATGTTATGTTGTATACATAAATGGTGTTCAAAAAGCAAATTTACATCATTTTAATGCACATCCCATAAGACCCAGGCAAAAATGCTTTCACTGAATATATAATGTGCTACCGAGCACATTGTATATTCATGTATTGCGCGTTAGTGTGTATTTTACCTAGATTATTTGAAGTATGTACACAGTTTGGGGGACTGTCTTATATCTGGTAATTCTGCTTAGAAATGGCATGCTTATAACTATTTTTCCAATGTAATATTGGAAAATTGCAATAGGATGCTAAACACTTGCAAAAACACATGATGTCAGCAGTAGTGTAGCGTTTTATTTTAACCATTCTGCTTTAAAAAACCACCAACTGTGGTGTTGTAAAAACGACGAGCTTATAAAAAAAATAATCATGCAATGCTTTTATAGAAAATGTAATAAAAGGGGGACAGTGGTAACACTATCATTAGCACCCTGCACTGAACACAGTGATCTGAGTTTAATTCCCAGCAAAGGCTGATATAGAGTGCGCGAGCTATATTTGAAACAGTCCTGGGCCCCTTCATTCACCCACCTTAACTGACCAGCATGGTGAAGTACGGTCGAACACATTCCACAGTCGATATGGCGCAGGGTGGCCTTCATCAGAAGTTAATTGAAAAAATGGATGTAAAGTTAATCATACTTTAGTAATAGGTTTTTACCCTTTTATCTGGCACCAAAACTGACGCCTTTATACAAGGGATCATGTTTGCAATAACCACAACACAAGCAGTCAAAATGCAAACAAAAAGAGACAACTCTGATAATGATATGCACTGTCCTTGAAATTGATTGGTCCACACCCGAGAGATGGCTTTTCTTAGAGCCTAGTCTCCGCTGGTGTTGGACCAGATGACGCCAAAATTGGAGTTTACTGCGTAAAAAAACCCAAGGTACTTAAAAAAGATAAGCCCCCCAAAGTAAATTCGTCTACTGTCATGTGATTTTATGATCACTGCCTGCATTGTTCGTGTTAGTGATACTCATGACATTCATGGGAGTGTGCCATTGTATTTGTTGCATTAATGCCTTACACTTTCATTTTTGTCCCATTTGCAGAGAGTGTAAAGATAGTCAACCTTCATGGAAAGCTGAAGTCAAACAAAAAACAAGCCTCTGAGCTGCACTTTGACTTCCAGATCGATTTCATAGGTGAGCAAACATGGCCTGTCACAGAACGCTCATGCATTCTGCACATACACTGCATACATTAAATGTATGTAAAGTACAACTTTTCGTACTTTGCAGTTTTGAACGTTGCACATATCATCCCTACGCATTGGTTGAATTTGTATATTTATTGGAATTGTGTACAAAAGGGTGTGAGCGTTTTCCATTTTCGAACATCGGATATGACACTGTCTTGTATGTTACACCTTACACTTAAATTGGGAAAATTAATTGCCAAAAATGTGATGTTTATAAATCGGCATAGATATCTGTTGCCATTTATATCAAATATTTAGTAAGATTTGAAAACATTAAGTGAGAATTTTCAAAAGGAAGATCACAAATGGTCTAAGTACCTGTCACAAGCACTTCACCTTTGGATATATTGACGATGGCCAACATAAAACTTGAAAAACTCTCTCGAGTTGCGTTGTGCGTGAAGCAGTCTTGTGTTAAAACGTCGCATATCGTCCCAACGACTCTCGTACGGATTTGTTGAACCTGCTGACATCCATCCGTGTACGGGGGTGTCTTGAGTCATCGTGTTGCCGTTCCCGTTCCCCGCAGTGTGTCTGCAGGACAGTGTTCTCGCCTTCTGGAAACACGGCATGCAGGGCAAGAGCTTCAAAGCCAACGAGGTATTAACATGCTGCCAGCCGAGTGTAAGAGTGAGGGTATTGCTTTGAGAACAGTTAAGCTCTCCGAACTACGCACGCTGTCAAACTGTTAATGCTTGGAGGCAGGGGTCCTAAGTAAAATGTTATGGCTGGAGAAGTTCCTTTTTTTCTGCGATGATTTAATTTCCTTAAATACAATGACGGTGGCACTGACCTGCAGCAGTTGTAGGTTATACGGGCCATAACCTATTAAAATTTATCGTAAGTAATGTTTACATGGCATGTCTGAATGTTTTGACTTTGAAGTGGTGCTTTGAACGACAGCACAATTGTTTTGCCCTATTATGGTATTTAATGGGACTTCCTTAAACATCCATTTTATAAACCCATTACTGGCATCGTCATAATCAATAATGAAAATCTGCAAGTATTAATTTGTGTCTGTAGTCACAGAGAGGTGACACTTTGGCCATTTGGCCATCATCAGTTGGGCAATTGAGACGTGCACATTTCTCCCAACGTCCTCGGCAGCTTTGAGGCATCAAACAGCAGCCTGATCATTTTGCTGCGAGACATTTTGTTCTGTATTTTGTGTTCACGGATGGACAAGTATGGGGTGTGGTGGTATGTGAGCTGCGTCCGTTAGTTTTCGTTAATTGGGCCTGCGTCCGTTCAAGTTGCAAATGAGTGCTGTGTCTGCCTCAACTCTGCCTCGTTACTGATCACCCCATCAACCTCTGCCCTCCCGTTAGGCATTGCTTCTCGTACGCTTCTTTCTATAAATAATTAACTTGGTGATACAGCCCAGCACTTGTCATTCAACTTCACCTCTAGCTATTAAAACGGCGCATATTGGATTGCGTTTCATTAACCTTTCCCTTCAATTGATTCGTGCCGTGTATTTCTTTCCCTAGGTTACCCAAGAGATCTCGGACCACACGAGGGTATTTCGGCTGCTCGGATCGGAAAGGTATTGCCACTCATGTCATTGTCACGAATCGCCAGCTTTCTGACGGCCGAGTATATTGAACCACTGGCTGACTGCACAAATAGCTCGATAGGTTTTTCAAGTTGTAACACCTCTGTAATCCGGGATCCGGGTTTAAAGTCCAGCATAAAATGAACACCCAGGAGAAGGGTTATCTGACCCGTTGGTCTTCAGTTATGTTTGTTGGGCTAATCAAACAAACTTCAGTGATTTTTTTTTCACTGCTAATGGAATGTAACACATCTGTCGTGAATCCGGTCTAAATCATTATATTTGAACAGGAGGTTTGTAGCTGGTTGGTGGTGTTCGTCAACATTTAAAAAGTAGATTTGGTGATTATTAATTTGTTCTTGAAACATCTAACAGTTTAATTCAAAGTCTGTTGTCGAGTCATAGTTTGTATTCACTCCAGCAGTGCTGATGTTTTATTTATGTTTGGAGACCCATACTTTCACCAACCGTAAATTCCGTAGGGTTAAAGATTATTATGTACACCTTTGGGCCAAATAGTGTGATACGGATGAGTAACCACAAGTGTGCATTTTTTTCCTCTTTGTAGTTTTCCCCCTTCTCTTTTTACATCGAGAAAACCCTACATCTCCCGAAAGCGTGCCGTCCAATGCAGAAACGATTTATTTCTATGGGGAATATTTTTTTAAAGTAGTTTTGTGAGAAACGTTTTCACACAAAATTGCTTAAAAGAGGGGGCATTGTTAGGTGTGCATTTAAGCGTGCATTGAGCAGCACGGACGGGAAAAAAAAACATTAAGAGTATTTTAAAATAACAAGCCGCCTGGCCGTGTTGACGTTGCATGGGCTGCTACCTTGCTTTGGAATGCCACTGGCTTGGCTCGTCAAACGCACAATCCGCGCGTGAGCCAGTCTCTTGGAAGCTGTGGCCTCGTGGGACAAACTCAGGCTCTATGGAGCACAGCGACGGACAGGCAGCACCAGAGATTGAGTTCCTGAGCTGTTGCTATACATCGTTAGCTTCGACTGTGCGCCCGTCCCCGCAGACTTGTCAGTGAATTTCTTGTAATACGGCATCATTACGGATCGCGTGCACTTCTTCAGTGTGCAGTGCTTTTGATTTGTGGTTGCGATTTTAAAATTGTATTGAAAGGGATATTTTGTGTTGACTTTATTTTATTGACAAGTACAAATATTTCTTCGAATTTACATTTTGTTTCGTAAATGATGTTTATGCGAAGCATATTGTGCAGTTAACACATCCAAAATGAAGAAGTCATCAGATTATAAGTGAAAAATGTAAAGATAATTCAGAAGAATGAAATAACAGGTTTGGTAGTCTCATCACTAATTTGCACAATTGTTACATTTGGGCTTTGTTACCAGCCTGACTTATCTTTAGAGAATGGTAACACCATAGAGCAAGCCCAGGCAGCTATGCAACATTTGTTTCTGAGTTATACACCACCCGTAGTTCCAAGACTTGGCAATTGCAACTGCCCATACGCATTTAAATGCCTGTTACAAAACTTGTTACAGCCGACTAAACCCACAATGGCATCCAATCTCCTCGACCTGTTTGTCTCATTTTCCTTTGATGTGCCATTTCCGCCTTGTAAAAAAAAACATTCTTGGCTCACAGGGGATCCAACTATTTATTTGCTTAAGATAGCAGTGGAATATAAAGTTGAGCAATGTTGACACAGGAGTCAGGACAAAGCTGTTCAATGTATCCTTGTGCTATTTTGTTTGCTTGGCAAATAATTGTAGTGCAATTAATAATAGAGCCTGCCCTGTGAGCAGCCTTTTAATAAATAAAGAAAGCAATACAATACAGTACATAGCTTTTTTTAATATACAATTGCTTTAGTTTAAAAACCAATTGGGCTCCTACGTGTACAGGAAGAAAAAATGGATATTACTGGGTCTTTGAGTATTTATAGTATTTTATTATTGTCTATTCCGCGCACCTCCCATTAGCACAGTTTGCTATGTACGGTGCAAAATAAGCTTAACATACATACATTTTAAATACAATTCCTGTCATGTATTTTTGTTAAGGCATGAGACTGTGCAATCATTGAATTAATTTAGTATTTATTTGAAGGTGTTTGACGGGGTATTATATTCATTATATAAATGCATACTGTGTAAGTTATATATTTAAACTGTTTTGTACGCGTGATGTTATGCATCTGCTAAGTGTGTGTAAATCTATTCTATGGAAATCTTAAGAAATGTTCCAGGTGACAATATTTTAATGGAGTAAAGTTAGCGTCGTCATGGATTGTGCGATCTTTTAATAGATAATTTAATAGAGATATCGATCATTTAATAGAGCTATCGATCATTTAATAGAGCTATCGCACAGTTTGCTTGCATTTACAAGTATGCACATTCGACATTTCACAGCTCAGACAGTGTGTATAGCATTGAATTTACTTGCGTAAAGTTTAATGTTTCGCAAACAAGTTGCACATAGCAAACCGCACTGGATATCACTTAGGGTGTCTTAACCATTAAAATGCACTCGGTCTGCTTCACAGTGGACTTTAAAGATCACGTGGAGTTATTTGCAAGAGCAGGGCCACTGCGTGCCTGTGTCAAAAGTCCACATTTGATGATTATAAAAATAGTTACCAGCAAATGACTCAGATGGTATTATAAGACACAATATTTTTCCCTCCTGAACAGATTTCTGACCCATTGAGACTCCTGGGTATACAAACGTTGTAATAATAATATACTTCAAATTCTTGGTTCTTTCGGTGAAGTCACGTAGAAGGGAAACAATAAAATAATAATAAAAATATAAAACAATAAAATTCTCACGACGTTTCGACTGCAACACAAGCAGTCATCATCAGGTGTGAAAACTACAGCAAGAACATTTTCTGTTTTATATTTTTATTATTTTATTGTTTCCCTTCTACGTGACTTTACCGAAAGAACCAATAATATGAATCCCTGCAGTCACGAAAGCTTTAAATAAAAAAATATACTTCAACTTGTTTTTTTCAGGTTTTCTTTTTTAAATGTCATTTGCTCAAGAAATTAATTTGGCAATGGCAGACTAATAAACTTGCAGAAAAAAACATGGCTGTTTTATAGGATTTATTTTAAAAGTGTTTAATCGTTTAAACAAACTATTTCTCAGTCACTGATATTATCAACGTATCTTTTGTGAAAAGCACTCGGTTACTCTCTGCATGGACCTTGTTTTTTCATGTTGGTAAATCCAACTTTTTGTTCACCAAGATTGGCCCAGTGTTCATCTGTAATCGCGTTATTGACCACACTCATTGCCATGGCAACAGTGTCTGGACAGAAGAGCGTGTGTGTGTGTGTGTAACGACCTAATGCACCTTGGTAGCGATGGGTGTCATTCTTTGTGCTTTGTACGGCTTGCTTCCCTGTTAAAGGAATTGGGCTTGACCGATAAAAGACTTTGAATAAACTAGTGGCACAAACTTAGCATAGCGGGAATACTTAAATACATAGGTGGTTTGTGCGTGTGCATGTTTTTACTGTAAAGGGTGTATTTGTCTATGGATTCATTAGTGTAAGGTATAAGCCCTGTAACAATGAAGGTCAGAACAGAATCTACTCTGATACTATGAGACATTTAGAATGCAACGGTGCAAATAGATTTTATGTCCAGACCAGCGAGGCAGAGAAAGGTGTTGCCTGTACCCTGTGGTGTAGGTGGCATGGTGAAAAATCCCACAAACCAAAACTAGTCAGGTTAAGGCATTTGAGGACAGCTTTTCCAATTTTAATATACATAATTGCCTCAAAGGCCATTTTCATAAAAACAAGAATGTTCCTCTATTTAAAGAGCTGTGTTGCTTTCCACTCGCGGCACACTGCTCAATTCATGACCCAGTTCTCGCGAGATTCTTCCAAGAGGATGTGGCTGCATTCTAAGTATGCTCCCTGTTAATTCCCCAAAGGGAATTGTAACATGTTGGGCTTCAAGAGTGGCCACATCGCAACGGATCCCCTCCCAATCCATTGTCCACTGAATTCCTGATAAAAATATTCCCGCATTGCGAGGTCATAAAGTGCTAGAGCCCCATCATGCAAAGGGACTATGTACAGTGAGGGGAAAAAGTATTTGATCCCCTGCTGATTTTGTACGTTTGCCCACTGACAAAGAAATGATCAGTCTATAATTTTAATGGTAGGTTTATTTGAACAGTGAGAGACAGAATAACAAGAAAAAATCCAGAAAAACGCATGTCAAAAACGTTATACATTGATTTGCATTTTAATGAGGGAAATAAGTATTTGACCCCCTCTCAATCAGAAAGATTTCTGGCTCCCAGGTGTCTTTTATACAAGTAACGAGCTGAGATTAGGAGCACTCCCTTTAAGAGTGTCCACAGAAGCAATCAATCAGATTCCAAACTCTCCACCATGGCCAAGACCAAAGAGCTCTCCAAGGATGTCAGGGACAAGATTGTAGAACTACACAAGGCTGGAATGGGCTACAATACCATTGCCAAGCAGCTTGGTGAGAAGGTGACAACAGTTGGTGCGATTATTCGCAAATGGAAGAAACACAAAACAACTGTCAGTCTCCCTCGGCCTGGGGCTACATGCAAGATCTCACCTCGTGGAGTTGCAATGATCATGAGAACTGTGAGGAATCAACCCAGAACTACACGGGAGGATCTTGTCAATGATCTCAAGGCAGCTGGGACCATAGTCACCAAGAAAACAATTGGTAACACACTACGCCGTGAAGGACTGAAATCCTGCAGCGCCCGCAAGGTCCCCTTGCTCAAGAAAGCACATATACATTCCCGTCTGAAGTTTGCCAATGAACATCTGAATGATTCAGAGGACAACTGGGTGAAAGTGTTGTGGTCAGATGAGACCAAAATGGAGCTCTTTGGCATCAACTCAACTCGCCGTGTTTGGAGGACGAGGAATGCTGCCTATGACCCCAAGAACACCATCCCCACCGTCAAACATGGAGGTGGAAACATTATGCTTTGGGGGGTGTT